TGTGTATCATGGCAAAAGTATCACCATGTGTTGTGACATTTCCAGTTTTCACTCTGTTGGATTTTGATGACAAACACTATTCATTTCTTAATTCCTTCAATTTTATTAACTTCATTCTTTTCAATGATGTACTGGACAGAGCATAATGCCAAGTCAATTGCATGTTCCACTGCATTTCAGTTGCTCTCCTGCATGACCTTAAACATGACTACCATTTTCATCTCACAGCTCATGTGGTACAGAGTGACTGAGTGATGTTCATTTAATGCTTGTTTTTTCCTGAACCATTTTCCATCCTTTTCAGATGAAGAGTATCAGCACCCAGAAGTTCTATGGGACACCTCAGAATACAGTTATCAAATCATCTCTTGCTCTTGTTGCCCAGTCTTTAAACACCAAAATCTTCAAGGCTCTCTGTTTTCCTGTTTGGCAAAAAGCAAGGTGTACTGTCAGTGTGCCAGTTCTGTTTAAAGACCTTCATTATTTTGTGGGCAAAAGTGTGGACACTATCCTAAATAACAGTGAGACACACCAGCAAGGATGGCATGTGCGTTGTGTTAGTGCAGTGGGAGATACCAATAAAGTAGTGCCTTCTGAGTGCACTGTAAGGGTGGGGAAGATGAGAAAGGACAAGGAGTATGTGATGGAGGGTGATGTGATGAAAGAAAAGGAGAGAGAACATGGGTATGAGCTGGTAGTGACCATGTGGCGTAAGCGCAGAACTGGAGCCCTTACGCCCTATCTCCGTATTCTTGGCCACCACTGTCATGAAATTAATTCACGTGTGGGTCGCCTAGGTACCTTTGAACAACAAAATGAATTTAAACTAAATCATTTCGTGACCTCAACATACTTCAGTGCAGCAAACTTCAAACAGGCCCCAAAGCAGATCCTTTTGAGGCGAGCAAGGGTCCTGAATCACCTGCTCTGTGGGTCAAAGAAGGGCGCGTCCAATGCATGAGTGTGCCGTGGCGGCTGTACATCGCAGGCAGACTTGCTAGAACGCTGCGAGGAAGCGCTGCCTCTACGGAGACGCGGCCAGTGACCCAGCCGCATGGAAGATGGTGCGACCGGGCTGGACAGCCACCGAAGCCGTGGTGTCGCCCTCGCGTGTAGGCGGGTCGTCGTGGTATCGGCGGCACCGCCGCCATCTGTTATGGTTGGCCTTCAAATTTGTGTGCAATAAAGAAACCTCGTTATTTTTACTGGTTTTCGTTCAGAACCTGGATTTTTGCTATGTCTGTTGATTCTACGGTTGTGCTGAGTTACACTTGCTATATTCTAAGCGTCATATTGATGAAATAAGGCCTTCAATTTTCTGCGCGGACAGACGCGGCGCCGTGACCAGATTCGGACACGTTGTGCAAAGGGGGGGAGGGGGGGGGGGGGCGGGGCAGCAAAGTGCAGTGACTATGCCGAACATATTTTAATTTTCACATTCTCTGGTTCTGCTGAATCAGCTGCTGATACCAGGGCCCCGTTATCCTTGTAGTGAAGCAGCTCACATTAATGCATACGTTTATGCGCAAACACATTTGCACCTGACCGTTTTCATGTTTATGCATAAAACCATTCACGCATATACATTTCTGCATTTATGCATGAATGTTAAAACTTGTAGACAAGCGTCGACCTGCGCACGACTGTCCTGTCACTGACAAGGACAGAATACGCGCACGCCACATCACGGACGTCCTGCGCGCAGGTGACATCCGTGATATCCATTAGTTTAACTGAAATTCGCGACGACACACTAAATCACACCAGGAGATGTGTAACACCATCAAACGGGGAATTAAATTGTCTATCATTATCCGCCCTAGCAATGAAATGATATGATATTTTAACGACCTGGTGCTGCGTTATTTGAATGTTCCGCGCGGGCGCTTCGCGCGGCAATTGAGTTTACACGTGGCAACCCCCTTGACATTGCTCTGATTTAATTACTTTGGCGACGACATGCTCAAAGCTTAACAACTATTTTTAATACCATCATGTAAAGAATTAAATTCTACACCAAAATATGGACTAGCAAATGATGATTTATGACTCCATGGCACACGGCGTACGCGCAAACACAAAATTTTACTTCTGAGACAGCAACACTGCGGTAAACACACTAGTTCAATATCCTGCCACCAGGGTCGGCCGCGGCGCCACTAGTAGTCATGTCCGCTCATGGAACGTAACGGACATTCTGTACCTTGGACAATATGAACGGTTCCCGGCAGAGAGCCCGTCTGCGCACCAAAGCTCATAGAGAGCTGCTGATTCGGCGCCGGGTCGGTGTCATTCAGCAACTTGTAAGTGAGCTGGACATAATTATCTGTCTCGCTGGTGCGTAGTACCGAGAATCGTGCCGACGTGCTGAGCCGTGTGCCGAGAGACTGGTTGCGTGACGATTCGACCTTTGAGCATTCGACGCCGGTCGGAGGCTGTGCGGTCGTAGCAGATCGGATGACTACCGATGGTCAAGGAGTCGGCATAGGATCCACAGACGGTTCCACCGAGCAGGCGACAGACGGCCGTGCCGGCCTTGAGATGGCGATCGCTGACATCCACGCTCGTGCCGGTCATCCAGGGATCGGACGGACGCAGTTTTATGCTCGGCGCGACGGTTCGTCGACAGTGACGCGGTCACAGGTAAGGAGTGTGGTGAATCGCTGCGACACCTGTCGCTCTATCGACCCAGCGCCGGTGACTTGGTCACCCGGATCGCTGGACGTGCAGGATGTGTGGTCACGGCTGGCGATCGGCGTGACTCACTTTCGGGGGCAGTGCTACCTCTCAGTAGAGGTAGCACTCTCAGAGAGCTGTGCTGTTGACCTGCTGGAACAGATTTTCCTGGAGAGAGGTGCCCCTGTGGAATTGTTGTGCGACAGTGACACCGTCTTTCGCTGCAGGCAGTTCCAGGCATTCGCGGCACGATTGAGTATTCGCCTGCGGTTCCGAGCCGTGCATGAGCCCGGCGGCAATGGCATTGTTGATCGAAATCATCGCACTGTCAAGGTCATTGCCGCCAGGAAGCAGTGCTCTGTCGCCGAGGCGGTGCACCTGTCGAATGTGACGCCGCGTGACGTTGAGACTGCGGGCCAGTGCGCCGGCGGCCGCTGACTATGTGTACCTTGTGCGGGATTGTGTGCGTCTCGCTGCTGATCAGCCGGCGATCGTTGAGCCGCGTGAACCGTATGACACCGATCGGTATACTGCTGGAGATACTGTCTGGGTTCGTCGTCGGGGGACGCGGCGTAAGGAGACGTCACAGCCAGAAGTGGGGTCAGGCATTATTTCAGACCAAGTGGTGGTAAATGACGGCGTACCGTGGTATGTACGAAATTTGCGTCGTAGGGGCGATAGTGCTGCTGAGACAGGCGAAGCCGGTGACGGGGGCGCGGGTGACAATGATAGTTTGTTCGTGAGGATGCCTGTAGCCGGAGAGGTTGCTGATGCTGATCACTTTTGGTATGCTACTAATGCTGATGATAGTGCCGGTGCGGCTGCTGCTGATGGTGCCGGTGGGACAGGCGACGGTGACGAGCGAGTGTTGCCGCGTCGGAGCGGACGAGAGCGGAGGCCCGTACGATTGTGTACTTGTTGATCATTAGGATCAGGGTGGGGTGTTTGTGGTCCTGCGCCCCTGCTGGGGCGGGGGTGCGGCGGGGGCGCGCCTCCACCACGGTGGCGGGTGTCGGGCTGGCGGGTCGGCCCCGGCTCGCGGCCCCCGCGGTTGGCAGTCGCTGCAAGGAGTTGATGTGGAGCGTGAGGAGGTGCTAAAATACAGATAAGCTTTGGTGACCTACGGCGTCGCATTACACTCGTTATCCCAAAACATGACATCCTGATTCGGAAACGCGGCCATCTGATGTATGAAAAGGGCTTGCTGTTCTAGAAGTGGAGGATGCTGACCATGAACATGGAAGGCGCTTTCTAACCCGGAACTAGCGGGCCTCCTAGTTTGTAATGCCCCCTTCCCCTCTCCTCCCCCGGGCAAACAAATTGGTGCCTCCAAAGCACAACATCGGGCCTTCTGATTTAACACATGGCTACCTTATTCTTAAGGCTGGTTCCATGGTCCGGAAAACGAGCTCGTGATGAAAAAAGTCTTCTGAGCTTTATTTATTACCCTCTAGCTCAGTTGTTGGGCCTAGCTGATCTGAATTTGGGCAGTCCCCGAGTAGCTACATGCCTGTATTTTTGGAAAAAGTGACCTCCACAAAATTGGAGAAGGGGAACTGTGCGCTGCCTCCCTTGCCTGCAGTAATGGGGAAGGGGGGGGGGGCAGCGATTCCTCCCCCCCCCCTGCTGCTGCACTGCCACTGGGTGTGTCTTCGAATTTCATCGTGACGGGCTGGCGTGGAACGTCGGCTGACGCAAAATGTAGTGGTAACGTATTAATTTAATGTAATATAATGATTCTCTTAGCACACTAATTTGATAAGCAACATGTGCTCCGGTGTCTCTCATTTCAATACAACATTGTCCAGAAGAGTTCTAATGAGGAGGCCCCATATTTTCATGGGCCCCCTGGGAGATCCTGCCCCCAGCTGAAAACCGTGGCGCCGCCTCTGCGTACGGTGGTAGCTGGTTGCACTCGTGTGCATGCAGCAGGCATTTCTCAGTGGCCAGGGGTGAACATTTGCGATAATAAAGGTAATGAAAAAACACTCAGATTTACTTGTTTTTGCTCCCAACACCAGCTGGGACGCCAGGTGCGTTTGCATTAAAAGGATTATGCATCTACCGTAGGTATTGATTTTTGCCTGCCATCTATGGGCTGAAAATGAAGACTACTGCGGAGGGGTACGGAATGCCGTGTTTACAAAAGTAGTACCGGGAAAATTGCTTGAAAATACATATTTGTGCGTTTGAATGATTAAAAAGAGTGCAAGGGACATCTATAAGATTAATTTGATTACGCTCGACCACTTCATTATCCTTTTATACCGGTTTGATATTTCGAATATCTTCCCGTCGCCTGGCAACAGAAGCCATCTCCATAGCTACCAAGCAGGCATTTGTCAACAAACGAGGTGAGTTACCATGGGTTGGTTGCCTAGGCAAATATATTCTGCCGTAGCACGTGCTTCCGAGTTGTTTGCGTTGTGACATGCGTACATTTGGTAGGTAGGTATGTAGCTTGTCGATTCGAGTTTACTTGATTGATCCATTGGGTGCCTTGGTTGATGACCGCCCAAGAATGTGTGTGTACCGTCAAAAACCCAGCCTGGCGGAAAATCGATAGCTTGTTAGTATAATTTTCCTTAAAAATTGACAGTCTAATCTCCTGACAGCAGTGATGCAGTTTCAGTTGTAAATACACATGCATGGGAAGTTTCTGTTATGTCCATTGAGAGCATTGGTGGCAAGTGGACCAGTTGATTTGCCAGTGGTTATTAGGAGCTTTTATGAGCATTGCTGAAGCTGACATTCACATATTGCTCAGTTTCCCATTGGGGTTTCCTTACAAGGTAAAACTGGGTGTGTGGTAAGTGCAGGAAATTAACCTACATAGGTTTTGGCATTGGGAAAGCTCATGTACCCCTGCTTGAGAGTGGTCATTTGGGAAATCCTCATCTTTATTCACATACTGCATTATGGTGTTCTTTGATGTAAAACAAGGCACTCCAGGGCCACCTCATATTTTGAGCCTCATGATATCAGGACCCATTGATTTTGCTAGTAGGACATCCTGCAAGTAGGAGCATAGATGCTTGATAGGATGATAGTGAAAAAGGAACTATTGCTCCTGGCCCATACCACTTATAATCAACATTGACTATAGCTCTTTACTGAATAGCCAGTTAGAAGTTGTTTAAGTATGGCTGGAATTACTTCATGGTCTTGTAGCACTCCTATATTGTTGAAAGTCATTTGAATCAGGTGGAAGCTAACATTCTTATCACAGACCTGGCTACTATATATTCTTTTTATGGTGTCTGTCATGTAGCTTATACCACCTATCTTTGCCATTTTAAACCCTTGTTTGTGCATTGGTTATGATAAGTAGCAACCCTGTTCCCCTTGTTCCTTCAGTTGGAGGTTTTAAGGATTTAAGCAAGATTTGGAGCACCTTTGGTGTAATTACAAGACCAATGGTAACTGATTTTATTATGAATGAATTACAAACATGGTGTGGTCAGATGCATTTGATTGAATTGTAGGTGGGTTACATGTTACTGCTATGCAGCAGACAAATATTATCCCTGTTTTAAAGCAATGAGCTGCATTTTCTCCTTTAATTGGAGTCTTGGTCTGTATTTTTAGGTTAATCAGCCTGATTATTTCCTGGAGCCTTGGTGTGATCTTTAGGTCAGATTCTAGCCCATCTCTTTGGATGGGAATTACATCTTCCTCTTCCCACATGACAGTCACTGGTAGCATTTCCCCTGGTTAGTAAAGTGTGTCAGGCAACATCATGCTTGTAATGCATTAATGATACTATTAAGCGGTACTTGCCCCTTAACCGCACCACTGTTGATTTCTTTAGTAATGTCTGGGGCATCAGCTCTTAGGTTCAAATGCATGCCCTTAGATCTGTTTCAATAAGATGATGCCTATAGTTGTTTATGAATAATATTTCAGGGGGTTTTGGCAGATTGATTGGAAAAAGTGCTTTGATTATATTGCCTCTTGCAGTGTTTGGTGCAACTTATATGATGTAATGATAGAAAACTGCATTGGCAATGCAGACTGCATCCTCCTCTGATCAAATCAGTATTACTCCAACTGCTCATATCAAGGTAATTTTTACCATGTTGATTCATGTGCATGCACAGTCAGTGTTCACAGCTTTTTAATGTGCTTCAGTAAAGACAAGAGCTAAGTGCACCTATTTTAATTTGCAAGACCTGATTTTATCATTTGCTTTGGATACTGTAGTACTTGTTGCTCAGAGCAGAAAGCCTCCACAAAATTGGTGCAAATCTTAATTGATTAAAGCAGCTTTCTAAGTCATGTGTTATGTTGCAAAGTAGTGGAAGTGAGTGCAAAACAAACCCCACTGACAAAGGTATTTGTAGATTTCAGTTGGTCTCAAAATAGTTAAATGAATATAATTGCCATCAATCATAACCTGTTAAGCTGTTGATGGGTTGAAAGGTTTACAATATTCAGTATCACATGTGATACACTACCTACTTTGTTATATTTGCACAAAGTGTAAGTCATTATACATGCTGTGATGAATTCTGCATCCTTCTTTGCTGTTTGATTCTTCCATTATTAAACAATTAGGTTTTTTTGTCTCTGAATCTTTTGGAAGTGCATATAAAGATGTGGCTATAATATTCTAATCATAAGTAGCAGCAAGCTTTTGTAAGTACATGAGAAAATATGCTTGTATTGCCTTGATCAAAGAAATACCAGCACAATTGTACCAGTTTGATGTTCCATTAAGTTGTCATACAAATATGCTTTCAGTGGCGTTTAAGCTTTCATTTGACACCGCATTAGACAGAATAAGTGCTGCAGGGTATCACTTGCTGTTGGCTATTGAAAATGACATGTTTTTGAAAATGAAGGACTAGTTTTTTTGTCACATGAACATGGTTGATATGAATTCAGCTATAAAAAGTTAAACAGTTGTTGTCCAGCACTGATCTGTCACATTAGACCCAGGGTCATGCTAAGCAGATCTGTTGATTGTTCTCCAAGGCAGTACTGCCCCACTTCTGTGGATTATTTATGTTCCAGTCTTTTGCCTGGCAGGATCTTGGAGGAATATTGTTGTGCCATACATTGTCATGGCACAACAGCTGTCCTATGCCAGGTTGACCATCTCCAGACAGCTGCACACTGGCTCCCTTGTGTGTTCATGCAGGCAGTTTGCTTTTGCTGAGATTCACACTTAAAGTTTTAGGCCATTAGCCATCCATCCTGCTTACTGAAGACACAGGGATGGCTTTCCAAAGGCTTCCTCACTTCCTGCAGTGTTAGAGAAAAATGATGGCAAAATAAATAATGTTCTGTATGTGAACTGTACTATATACTGCAGCTCTCCCAATAGCAAACACAACAACCATCATTGGTGGTTAGAGTTCCCTTGATACCAACCATGCTGATTTTGGACTTATCCATTCTCAAGCAATTCCTTAGAATAAGAACTTTTGCAAGTCCTGGCATGACATTATTCTTCATGGTGCTGAAACTGCTGCACTGCACCCACTACATGTGTCTGAAGATTTGTTTATTTAAAATTGAGTTCTGGAATGATCATTTCCCAGCATGTGGCAGTTGCTCATGATATTAAATATATGTATATACATATATATATATATGTTGGAATATTTTGGCAGAATTCTTTCTTTGATACATGTTTGATTAAAAACAACTGCTGGCTCAGCATTAAGGAGCTTTTTGATGCATCGTTCTAGCTTCCGGGCCTTTGACTTTGCGTCATCGCTTAGATTAAAGATGGTTCGCACAAAATTACTCATATATTCATCACTCCTTCCATTCTAACGTTTCGAGATCTTATCTCATCTTCGGAGAAGACTAAATTGCACAAGAAATAAGTTTTGAGTTTTAAAGGATGAAAAAATTGCATTTTCATAGTTTTCATTTCCAACAGTAGTGCACAATTTTTTCATCCTTTAAAACTCAAAACTTATTTCTTGTGCAATTTAGTCTTCTCCGAAGATGAGATAAGATCTCGAAACGTTAGAATGGAAGGAGTGATGAATATATGAGTAATTTTGTGCGAACCATCTTTAATCTAAGCGATGACGCAAAGTCAAAGGCCCGGAAGCTAGAACGATGCATCAAAAAGCTCGTTACTGCTGAGTCAGCAGTTATTTTTAATCAAGCATATGTATATATATATATATATATATATATATATATATATATATATATATATATATATATATGTGCCTGACTGCTCATTGCCCCAGAAGTCAGGTTGCAGCATGTCAGTGCCCACTATGAAAATGCAAGCGTGATTGGTATTACATAGTTATCCAATGACATGCTAACATTGCGACAATCTTTTCGCGGACTCGGAGCATAGCTTGCACCTCATATGCTTGCGAAGTCAATGTTGTTTGCATGGGGCTGCTGTGTGTTGAGAAAACTGTTGCATGCTATTTGATTAATTTGTTCATCAGTCATTAGAGCTACATGGACATTTTTAATGCAGCACTGTCTTGCAGCCCACTTGCCTGGATATATTGTGTCAGTAACTTTGGAATACAGCCTTCACCTGGCATGTCCGGCAGTCCCCCCAAAAACCAAGGGACAAATGTGCTTATCAACATCGTGCTGACCATGTTTCCAGGCATGCTTAGGTCTGTGAAAAACTTCACTAACAGTTTTCCGAACGTCGCTGTGTGTGGGGAATTTCATCACATGCCAGCCATGCACCGTCAACTTCTGTCCATACCCCCATGACCACTCCCACTGCCAGTCCCCCCCCCCCCCCCCCCCACCCCGCCTCTGTCGCACCGACCATGAGTGTGCCAGTGTCGGACCAGGAGGGATCGCGTGTGCCTCTCACTTTCCGAGTCACCACCCCACCTCCCCTCCCGCCTGTGTCGCATCGACCATGCGTGTGCCAGTGTCGGACCAGTAGGGATCGCGCGTCCTTCTCACCTCCTGAGTCACCACTCCACCGCCCCCTCCCGCCTCTGTCGTACCGAGCGTGAGCGTGTCGGTGTCGGACCAAGAGGGATCGCGCGTCCTTCTCACCTCCCGAGTCACCACTCCACCGCCCCCTGCAGCCTCTGTCGTACCGAGCGTGAGTGTGTCGGTGCCGGACCAGGTGGGGCCGCGTGCGCTGCAGCCGCCGCCAGCCGACGTGAACGCGCAGCTGGGCTCGAGCAGCGCCGAGCGGCCGAGCAGCGCCAGTAGCGGTGCCGACAGCCCGGCCGTCGTCACCACCACGCTCGTGGCTGCGCCCTACATCACCGTTACAGGTACGGCGCGGCCGCACGGCTTCAAGCCCTGGGTGTGCCGCGTTCGGGTGCTGTTTGAGGCCGGTGTCATCGTTATTGCTTTGTTTGTTTGCAAACGGTGAGAATGAAATGAGGAATGCTTATGTGTGAGCTTGTATATATATATATATATATATATATATATATATATATCTTTCTTGATTGTTCAACGATACCCGATCTCACATTCACTACGTTTTTGCGATGTCAGATATCAGAATGCAAATGACTTCCGAAAACATTTTTAGTTCCGTGGGAGGAAAGTTGCGTTTTGCTTTTCCGTGTTAAGTTTTGGTTTCAATATAGTTCCCACGGGTAGGGAGTAAATTAGTGCGTCCTCAAGTTGGCATTACGTTGGTCCGGAGCGTAATGTATATGCTGATGCTGAATAATGTATATGTCTGCTGATGAAAAGAAGCTTTGGAATATATCTGTACCGCTAGGGATGAAATAAAGCTCAAAATATGTGGGCAGACCCGATCCGTCTGAAACGTCGCTTTGTGAAGACGAAACATCCGCCGAATGAGTCGTTCCATTTTACCTTATTTCGATTTGCATGGCATATGCTTCATTAAATATAGGAACAGCACCTCGATCGCTGGGAACTGATTGTTGTGGGACAATGTAAGGTACAGCGTAGCCAGATTTAGTTGGAATCGGCTGATGTTATCTGGATACATGATCCCAAACCCGCTATGAGCAAATGGGTCCGTGCAGCGTGTCTTGCGTGTGGAATAGTGCGAAGCTAAAGGCAATACAAAAGCTTAATGGAAAGGATATAGGTGAGTGAGAGTACATACATTGTTGGAATGGGCCAAGGACGGGCTAGCTCGCATTGGTAACATGGGAACTAATCCCAAATGATGCATTGTTGATTGTTCAACTGCGCTCACTAGCTGTGATTATGGAGATTTGAAGGCATCGTGTTGTTTGCATGACAAAAATTGTATTCTTCAAATGGGAAGATGGTCAGGAGTTATACCGAGCCTTGTTTGACGTTCATAGCCATACCGTCTGTAATCCAGTCAGATGTTGCGTGCTAGAATTGTCGTGGTTTGCCGTAGGAATCAGTGCAGGGTGAGTTATGTCAATAGCTTTCAGTGCTCCATGCAGCGCGACGATCCGTGCCTTGCTGTGAATTGAACTATGTGCTCGCTTGGCATTGCACTACGTTCACGATAATCCGCTGCCCGATGACACGAGCCATTCATTACGCCCTGTTGTCAACCTGGGATAGGCTCCTCCCGTTGTGCGCCGGATCCGGCCGTGTCCGGCATGTGCGGGTCTCAGGAACCCGCTGCCAGTCTCGTGCCTATGATCGGCTCTGTATTGGGACGGTAGCCGGCTGCCGTGCTGTAGTGGGCCGATGATTGTGCCGGAGGCGTCGGGTACTTGTCTGTGTGTGCGGTCCATGACGCGCCGCTCTGCTCAGGGGACGCCGGCGGCTCGCGCTCGTTCGCGCCGCTCACCCCGGTCAACCCCTCGTCAGCTGTTGGTGAGTGGCGGTCGATGCCGGCCGGCTCAATGAGCGGCGCCGTGTTTGCCGGCGGCGCGTCGATGTACGTCCGTGCACGGCCGCGCCGCCGGACTGTGCCGGGTCAGCGGGTCTGGCGCCGAAACCGTGAGCCGTGCCCGTCCACCGGCCGGCGGGGGGTCATGGCCTCCGGGCCCGCGTGGGGCGGCCAGGGGCAGGGTGTGCGTGCGTGCCAGGAAGCGGCTATTGACGCTAATCCTCGCCGAAGTTCACGCCGTGAATGGGGCCCGATCGACCGGGGATGGGCGGCCGGTGCTGTGTGGCGGCGGAAGGCAGCGGCCGCGGCGGTAGGACCGACGGCCCGCCGCCGCCAGACTGCTGTGTGTAGCACTGCCTTCCCGCACTAGCCAGGTGTGCTAGCATCTGCGGCGACACTCGTGGTGCGCGCGTGCGGCGCCCGCTGATAGTGGTCAGCTGATAACAACAGCTGACGCGCGCACGGGTCATCTCGGCTGGTAGCCGTTGGCGTTCGCTGCCGTTTAGGATTGAGCGGGTCCTGCAGAGGAATCACGAAGAAGGTGACATGGTCACGAAGCGAGGAACTATGTGCTTAGTGGGCAGGGTAAAAGCACATTCAAGATAGCGGCGAGAGAATAAATGGGTCGCCGCGGCGTAATCTGGTGCCTTCACTTATTGCGACATGCGCTCAGTAGATGGCGGCATCAGCCACAATTGTGCATGGCCTTGGTTAAACGGGATAACGGGACTGGGCCTTTAGCTAAGCGTGGGGGATCGAGGGCGGCAGATACTGCTAGTTCTGCCGTGTGATTTTAAGCTTCATAAATACCCTTCGTTGTCTGCCATTGTCTGGCATGCGACATCAGGGATTTGCCAGGATTTACGGAATGAATCCCCCCTATAGATCCCATCGTTTTTTTCGGTGGAGGGGAGGGGACCTCGCGTGGTAGTTAAGGCTCTGCTTTGTCGCCGTGTGATCGCTAACGCGTCCTTGCGTGTGTCAGGTAAACGTGGACTGTCTAAACAACTTTGTTTGTTCTCTCCATCCGTCTAGGGAACTGTTGCACTCAGTGATACGGTTCATGAGAGTTACCGACTGAAGTCTGCCCGGGTGTGGTCCGCATCAGGAGCCTGTGCTGTCCCCTACCGCCCAGCCTTACCGGATACCATGACCAGCGCTGGCGCCAGTTTGACCCACATTTGCCTAATGGGGTGGGGATCGGGCCCCGCGTGAGAGCCCGCCCACCTGGCCCCTGAGCAGTGCGGCGGTGCGCCTGGCCGGCCGCTGTTGTTTTTGTGTTTGTTTGAGGGGCGGCCGTCCGTGCGCGTGCTGTTTGTGTTGGTTGTGTTTATCGTGTTCGGTTGGGCCGGCGGCTGGTGCGCTGGCCAGTCAGCTGGTGCGCTGATCAGTCAGCTGGCCGCTGGTCAGCCGGCCGGCGCCGACGCGGAGGCCGGAGGTGCGCGCCCCGTGCGGCCGCTGATTTATTGAGTGTCCGCCGTATGGTCCGGTGGCCGTGACGCTCGTCCGTGCGGCGGCGGCGGCGGCGGCGGCGCGTATCGACCTGTGCGCGCCTCCGCCTCCGCCCTGCCCGGCCCGCCCGACCCTGCCCAGCCCAGCCCAGCCCAGCCCGGCCTTATGTCTGCGTCGGCCTGCTTTCAGTTAGCGAAGGCGGCACGGTGGCGGCCTCGGAGACGGCCGTGGCGGCCGGGGTGGGCTCCACCTACGTCCAGCAACAGTATGTAGACAGCTCGCCGGAGGCCGGCCTCTACGCCACCACCACTAACGGACAGATGTAAATATATGACTAATCGGCGACGGGGCCACGGCGCCAAGCAGCGCAGCGCCTCGGAGCGCAGCGCAGCGCCTCGCAGCGCTTCGCCTCGCCTCGCCTCGCCTCGCTTCACCCGCCCCGCCCCGCCTCGCCTGGCCTCGCCTCGCCTCGCCTCGCCTCGCCTCGCCTCGCCTCGCTTCGCCTCGCCTCGCCTCGCCTCGCCTCGCCTCGCCTCGCCTCGCCTCGCCTCGCCTCGCCTCGCCTCGCCTCGCCTCGCCTCGTCTCGTCTCGTCTCGTCTCGTCTCGTCTCGTCTCGTCTCGTCTCGCCTCACCTCACCTCACCTTGCCTCGCACACTGTCTCGGGCTTTGGAGGCGGTCCTTCCCCTGTCTATGTCTCTATCTGCACGCCTGGTGAGCTCGCCCTGCTTAGTCTGTCTGAGCGCAACGGCTCGTACGCACGCTGCACACGAATATTCAGCTGGCTTGGTCGTCTTTCTTTCACTTTACGGTTATGTTGTTGCACGTACTTTCCGAGGATGTCCACGAAATATCACTTATCGTCTCCTTTGCATTTATTTGCCTGTCTTCGGTTGTCTTTAGCCTTAAGTGCCGTTCACGCGGTGGACTCTGCGTTTCTGTAGTATCGCGGCCTTCTTAAAAATGACATGCTGAATGAAGGAGTCTTTTGCGTTTGGCCAGTGGCATGATTTCAGTTACGCTGTTGGATGTGACGGCCGTTTGGTCGCCTGCCGGGCTGCCGCTCCGCACTTGGAGTTGGTAATCGCTCGCACGTCTCTTTTCCAGAGTGGCTGCTGTTGGTGCCACTGTAAGTCTGCGCTAGACCAGCCGTCTGTTCTTTCCTCGCGTCCGCCGTAGAGGCTGTCCGTGCTCGTTTCCTCCTGGGGTGTTGAGCATGATGCCTGTTGTCATCACCTCACGGGGTGTTGCTGCGAGTCAGACCACGTGGCCGAGAACGATGCGATGGTGTGGATTGGCGTGTCGCCACGTATCTGAGCAAACCGCCATTTCTTTCGTCAAAGTAATCACCGCCATTGCAAAATGCTTATTCGGCCAGCGTGTACGAAGTCAATCATTGGGACCATCAGCGGCGGTACTTGTGGTGAGCGCTCAGCAGGCGTGGACCGTGTGGCCGTGGTCTGTACACCAGCTGGCTAACCGACCGGGCGCCTCTGCCCTGCAGGGCCTACCCCGCCGTGTACGCTATCAACGACGGCACCGTCACCATGTACACCGGTGATGGTACATTCTACACCAACGGCACACAGGTACCAGTTCCCGGCAGTGGTACCGGTATGGGGCATGTGTACGGCTACCTGGATTAGCCGGCAGTGGCCGCCGGCCGGCCGAGGGCTAGGCTCCGGGGAATCCCCCAATGTCAGCGTTGGTCGTGTCTCATCATCAGTCTCATCAGTCTATTGAGTCGATGCATGCCAAGGCCTAGATCACCACCAATGCCGTCCCTCAACGTAGCAGTGACGAAAATGGCTGGTGACGTGGTCTGCGGCCGGATCTGTTTTAAATATGAATGGCGGCGATGAATGTGGCCGTAAAACAACGCGGTAGATGCGACGTCTTGTGTCACGCGGTAGATGCGACGTCTTGTGTCCCTCGACTGTCCCTGCCCCGTTAGTTACCTTGCCTGGTGGCCCGTTGACATAGCTGAGCGCCGGCCATGTCATTGCCGCCGCGGTGCCGACGCCTGCTGGCGACACCAGCGGCTGGGCGGACGGCGCGCCGTGCTGAGCGTGCCCTTTGTGCCGACAGGGCCAGCCGGTGGCGACCCAGGGCCAGCTGCTGTCCGGCAACACGTACATGATTCACCAGCCGCGCGTCGAGGGCGCGGACGGCCACCCGCTGATGAACAACGCGCGCGGCAGCCAGCAGACGGTGAGTGGACAGAGTGGAGGGGGGCCGCGCCGGCGCCGCCCGCCGCTGACGAGCTGAGGAGCACGGGATGGCACCTGGGCCGCCAAAGGGGAGAAAAACATCGGGAAGACTTCGGAGCAACCCTGTAGAGTCGGGGGTAGAAAAACTGATACCCATGCAGGTGCGTAGCTGCGGAGTGATAAAAGTGTGATGCTCTGTGAGGTAGACGAGACGTGTCAATCAAAATAGGGTTACTTGCAGGACAGCTGTGACTCATTAAAACCATTACCTATTTTGTATCACTAACAAATGCCTTAGAGGCTGGAGGTATGCTGATGCCACTATAACGTCTATCAAGTTTTAGGTATTCCAAGTATTTGCTCCAGTTGAGGTCCGACATTTGCTCGTGGCCGACTGGGAATGGAAGTGGCTCACGTGACCTAGGCCTGAACACTGGACATGCCCCAGCTCGTCAGCGGTCTCTCACGGCGTGTGGGTGTGGGTGTGCCGCCGTGTGGTTTGTTGCGTGTGCGTGTGCGTGTGCCGCCGCGCGTGCCGCGCAGCTCTGGCTGCTGCCGTCGTGTGTGAGCGCCGCTGCCGGCCCGCCTGCCGCCGAGTGCGCCCGCGTTCCCACCGGCTGCCGCCTGGTTTGCCGACGCACTCACTGTTAGACGTGCCGCCTGCACGCGTCGCGGCGCGGCTGCGGTCCGCCGCCGCTGAGAGTCGGCTGCCGTTCAGGAGCAGGGCGGCGAGCAGCCGGCCGGCGCTGAGCAGACGGTCACCTACATGATGACGGCGGCCAGCGCGCCGCCGGCGCCGCCCACCTCCGAGCCGTCCGACCCGCTGGCGCAGGCCACGCGCGTTTCGCCGGCCACGGTACGTGCAGCGGCTGAGAGCGATGACGTGCTGTACGGCTGCTCTCGCCGTCGGAGAAGCTGCTGGTGGTCCGTGTGCGTGTTCCGTTGGACTTTTTCATCGTCTTCTACGCCCTTCGCTCCAATTGGTCCCTTCGCTCCAGTTCCACTCCGGTGACATCGATGTTTTGTACGTCCATCCTGTTTTATCTCCCTCCCTTCTGTCCTCGTTGTGCGCCCCAGTTCTTCTTTCCTTCACTGTGTTGCACCCTCCCGCCCGCTGTGGTGTGAGCAATGCCCAGAAACCTCTCTACCAGTGGTAGGCGGACGTCAGCAATCTGCCGTGTTTTCACGAGATGGCTCGCGCTCGTTTGCATTGACGGTGTACTCGATGGAGTCGTAGCCAGATGCGTGTTGACTGTGGTGCCGGTGCAGCCGGCGCCCTGTTAGTCAGGACGTCGTGCCGTGCCGTGTCGGGCGTCTGCGTCTGTGTCGCTGTGCCGGTGACAGCTCTGTCGTGTTGGCCGGAGCCCGCGGGGGGCTCCGGCCGCTCCGTGTGTGTGCGTGTACATGCGTGTGACGGGGCCGGCCGGCCGTCCCCAGTCCCCGTCCGCTGTCCTCCCGTCCGGCGCCGCCCTCTCCGTCCAGCAGCCCAAGCTGTTCATCATCAACAACACACCGGCCGGCGAGCGGCGTCTGGAGGAGATGGCGCTGCCGGCCACCTCTGATCCCGCCGACTCCGCCGCTGCCGCCCGCAGCGGCGCGGACGGCGCGCCCTGCCACTCGGTCGTCGAGCTGCTCATGCTGAACGGCACCTTCGGACAAACGGTAGCGCCGACAGCCGCCGCTCCCTGCGCCTCGCCAGTCATCCCGATCCTCGGCGCCCTCTTAATTGGAGGCCAACCTTGGTCTCGAATCAGATCCAAGCCCCGTCCGGGCGTAGCCGGCCCAGCCCGCCTAGCGTTCCATGTCGACTAACGTGGTCGTCTCCTCTTTTCCAGTCGTATGACGCGAATTGTGTAAGTGTTCCGCCGCTATTCTCTCACCCTCCGGTGGTGCTGGTTGGTCGGGCGTACTAACCTTGACCGGGTGTGATCCACGGCGCGGCATGCTGGGGCGCCTGGCCGCCCGCCCCCTGCCTCGCCTGCCCTCCCTCCCGACCCCGACCCCGACCCCGACCCCGACCCCGACCCCGACCCCGACCCCGACCCCGACCCCGACCCCGACCCCGACCCCGACCCCGACCCCGACCCCGACCCCGACCCCGACCCTGACCCCGACCCTGACCCCGACCCCGACCCCGACCCCGACTCCGACCCGGACCCCGACCCCGACCCCGACCCCGACCCCGACCCTGACCCCGACCCCGACCCCGACCCCGACCCCGACCCCGACCCCGACTCCGACCCCGACTCCGACCCGGACTTCGCCTGGCCTGTAGCTACAGTTGGGTGCACTCACGTGGGGCGGGCTCCACCTCCGGCGTTCGCGCTGACTGTCTGTCTTCGTCTCGGGGTGCTGCCGGCCGGCCGACCCGGCCGACGCGGGTGGGCGGCATCACAGGCTTCGCGGAGGCCGGCGCGCCCGGGACGTGCACCCGTAACTAGCGTCACTGTATAGTGTACATGCCCTCCACACACGGACGATGCGCCTGCGGGGCACGCCGCTATACCGGGCGTCTGTCTCCCTGACGGGTGGCGTAGAGCATGTAAGCGGCGCTCAGCTGCCCGGATCGGACCCTGCGGGCAGGCTTACGTAGCTTCATTTGCCTGGCTGACGGTAAGCCGGCTTCGTCTGCTGGTGGTTTAGCCGGCGGGCCCCGGGGCTCCCTGTCTTCCGCGAGGCGCTCGAGTCCTCAGCAGCGCAGCCGAAATTACCGGCTGGATGGCAGTCATAAAGATCTCTGGGACGGTCGGCGTCGTGTGCCGTCGCTCGCGCCACGTGGGGGGGGGGGGGGGGAGCTGGCTGGCTGGCTGACTGCTGACACTGATGGGGAACGCATCCTTTCTTCTCTTTTAACCACTTGCAGATTTTTCCGGGTACTTTGGTGAGTTCTGGACGTCTTTGTGTGTCTTTTTCTGACCTGGGTGATCTGCATGAGCATGCTGCATGTGCTTGACGTGCAGGGGTTTGGATTTGTCGTGAGCTGTCTGAGAGCAAGATTGCCTACGGGCAAAAGCTGGCTCCTGGTTGCGTGTTCCTCAGTCGTTATGGATAATATCATCGCCATTGACATTATCAAAGCAGAATCAGTACGCCGACGCCGTGTGTTGACGCAACGTGGCCTCCCAGTAGCGTGCGGTGCCGTGCCGCTGCCGGCGGCTGCGAAGCTCGTTCACTGTTTCGTGGCCGCACAGGTACAATGGCTCAATGACAACTACGAGGTGGCAGAGGGCGTAAGCCTGCCGCGCTCCACCCTGTACAGCCACTACCTGCGACACTGCGCCGACAACAAGCTGGACCCCGTCAACGCCGCATCTTTCGGGAAGCTGATCCGCCAGGTGTTCTACGGCCTGCGCACGCGCCGACTAGGCACGCGGTGAGTGGGGTGTGGCGGCGGCGGCGGGCTGGTCCCGTGCCAGCTGAACGGCCCGACACGCGGCGGGTGGGTGGCGGTTCCGGCCGCGCGCCCGTCATCGGACTGCGCCCCTCCGTCGGGCCCAGCCGCCGGGCCTGCGGCAACTCGGCTCGGCTCTTCAGCCGGCCGCGTCCCACCTCCATCCACGTGGCCCCGCTCGCGTGCGCGGAACACCCTTTATGGGCGGCCTGTGCTGGATGTCATGATAGGCGGTGATTTGATCAGCTATGTTCGTTCCATGCCGCATAGGTGTCTGAGGTCGTCATTTATGACATGGAGCGCAAGGTCTTGTGTGGATTCGGGTCGGCTTGCGTGTCTGAAAATGCCCCAGCCAGCCCAGGCCGATGATTGTCAGACGGAATTGGAACTTAAGAGGCATCAGACACGCACGCCGCCGGCTTACGACCGACTCGTATCAGACATTCAAATATGCTGCCCGCATGCACGGCTCGCGGCGCTGGCTTAACGAGCCTGTCGGCACGTGCCAAGTCACGGCGTCAGCTCCCGGCGCACGCAGTGCAAGGGGCTGTCGGATGTGTGCTTTGGTGAATGTTGGCCTATGCTGCTTTCTGTCCCAACTTTGGCGTTTCGGTGCCGTGAAAAATGGTAATGGGACCTGAAAGGTGCGAAAGAGTAGGGAGTGAGGAGGGCAAATCATAACTGTATAAGTTCGCGTTTTGAAGGCCTGAATATTTACCAGAGGTTTTGGGCAGTTGACGGATATTACTGCACTGTTCTTCTACTGTTCTTAATTACTGCACTGTTCTTCCTGCCACCGCCACCGTTGTTCCTCACTCTGGCTGTGTGCGTTGCAGCGGAAACTCCAAATACCACTACTACGGCATCCGGGTGAAGCCGGACTCTCCGCTGAACAACCTGTCTGACGAGGTGGCGCTGGCCAGCCGCCAGGCTGGCGGACACGGCAAGCGCCCCAAGCGCGACGACTACCAGGAGAACAGCATCGACATGCACCAGACGCAGGTGGGTGGGCGCTGGCCGGCCGGGCTACCCAGCTGGGCCGTAGCTGCATGTCAGCTGTGCGCGCGCGTGGCCACCACAACGTCGGAACGCTGGTGACAGCGAGGAGCGCCTCTCGTATTCAGTAGAGCGCGGGTCATGTTCTGTGCTGGACGCAGGCTCGGCACCCGTGCAATTCCACTTAAACACTAATGAGCCGGGATTTTGCGCTGGGCAGCGATGTCAGGTCGTTGACGGCTTATCGGCTAAGGTCGTGGTACGGTCGTGCTGACGGGAAATTCAGAAAGGATGTCTAAGTTGGGCAGCGCAAAATAACTGCGAGGCGTTGTCTGTTTCTGGAATTCAAACGCTCGATACGCTCTCAGAACGGCTTCACAGAACAGCGATTTCTCACAATTCCAAGAATGGTGGAGCACTCTGTAGAGATTGGCATCAGCCAAAGATGTTTCTAAGCAGCATTGTCAAGCGCCTGACTGAGGCAGCCTGCACCGTGGTAATAGCCGACGGAAATGTGCCCTGACGCGTCCGCTGGTGTAGGGTCGGCGGAGTGCCGACCACCGATCGCACCTGGGCTGAGCTCGTTCAGTCGCCGGCGCCGCGCCCGCGCCCGCGCCCGTCCCGTCCCGTCCCGTCCCGTCCCGTCTCGCCGGTGACTGGTCGGCACGGTTGGCGTGCCGACGGGCCGTGTCGTGAGTCCGTGCTGACGACACGGCCCGTCGGTGCGCCGCCGTTAGGCCCGCCATTGATCGTACCTGAGCTGCCGCCGGCCGCCGGCCTGCCTGCCAGAGATATGGCCGCCGTCGGCCAGAGACGGACCGGTAGCGCCGGCGCCAATATGGAGCCCCTCGCAGACTGGGCGACGGAGGCGGCGGCGGGAGCTGGTCGCTGCTCAGTTGCGATCCGCTCTGGGGCCAGGCTCGGGAGGCCCAGCGGGTCGGGGTCGGTGGTGCTAGCGCACCCATCAGTGGGACGTTAGTGCTGCCGGCTGTAGAGGGCCTCATGACACAACTCTGTGTCGTGGGCGTCATGACACGACTCTGTGGAGCGCTTCATTACACAATTCTGCGAAAGGCTTTATGACCGCAACTCTGTGCAGCGATTCGTGACACAATTCTGTGCCATGGCACAACTCGGTGGAGGGCCTCGTAGACGTCCTGGGTGTACTACGGATGGATGAATTTGTGGGATGAGCGCCTACATTAAGCAGTGCTGGTTGCGTGGGCCCTACGGTCTGACACCACCATCTGACCGTGAATTTCCGGGTCGACGGCGGACTTACGGCGAAAACTTAAACAGCCCGCAATGCTCGGCACGGTTCGTTCCGTGCTCTGACATCACCTGACGTGGCGGCCGCTGCCTCTGGCCGCAAGCCAGCTCAGTCGAAGGTGAATATCGACCGCCTAGAGCGGCTCGAACCCACCCCTCTACGTTTGGACGGATCAGAAAGCAGGCGCTCCAACTAACTGAGTTATCGGAACAAACAGCTTATGATAGCAGTAGCTGGACTGAACTGGGTTTCCGCCCACGAGTTGGCTAGCGCGGTCATGCCTGCTGGTGTGAACACCATGTGACGGTCATGCCTGCTGGTGTGAACGCCATGTGACGGTCTTGCCTGCTGGTGTGAACACCATGTGGCGGTCATGCCTGCTGGTGTGGACACCTTGTGACGGTCATACCTGCTGGTTTGAACACCATGTGACGGTCATTCCTGCTGGTGTGAACATCATGTGACGGTCACACCTGCGGGTGTGAACACCTTGTGACGGTCACCTGCTGGTGTGAACACCTTGTGACGGTCATACCTGCTGGTTTGAACACCATGTGACGGTCATGTCTGCTGGGCTGCTCTCAGGTCAACTGTGCTGTAGTAGCGTTCAGCCAGAGCTGTCACCAAGCCCCATTAGTCTGGGAGGGCGGGCCATTGGTTACCTGGGCCAGTGGAGGGATGTTTGTAGGAGTTAGGTGTAAGCGCTATGGGACGCGCCAGGTTAGCCTTGCGCCTCGTGCCCGTTTTCGAGATAGGGAGGCAGCGTTTTCTGCACGCCATGCCCGCGTCTCGTCACGTCTGTTGTCCCCGTTGTCCTACATGCACCGTGTAATATATGACTTCGTTTCATTCCCTTGTGGTATGGCGTAAGCGACATTAGCATTTGATGAAGTGCAAGTGGTGCACCGAACTGGAATGACTGACAGGCAGCATACCTAACCCTTCACCCTTCATACACCCTTCCACAGGCCCAGATATTCGAGCATACTTAGCCAATGCGATTTACAGGAGCCTTTACATTAAACATAATGGACGGAGGACCTCGGGATAGATGCACGTCCTCAGACATGATATGGATTAGTCCCTATACGCATTAGTGCAGTGCACAGGCCGTCTGGGAATTAAGGGCAAGCCTTCGTAGACTGTGCATGCTTATTCAATGATCTCGGTGATGATCCGCAATGGCAATGGTACACGAAACTAGCGGCCCCGACGATTAGTTCTGTAGCTGGATGTGGCTATGCCTTTTAAAGAGAGCATGGTCAGCCGACACGTCATGATCACTTAGTCGTTTTGTACAGATATGAATGTTAAGGAGAATGGCCATGTTGTATTTCATCGGCCGTGTGGTAATATTGTGCTACCTCGACATAGAATAATCCGCATGTTTATCTTAGCGGCCAACATGGGACGTTATGCGCATTGCGTATGGACGAATAATTAGCCACACGCTGCTGCATTCCCCTAGCTGAACGTGTAGTGAACACGATCAGGTCGTTTGTCAGCGAGGCTCACTTAGATCTAGCGGGGACGGCCCACCCGGCTTCCGACGGACATCAATGCTTCCGTACGAGCAGTGGTGGGGGGTTGTGATTCCGTATAGTCCTGGTGGTTGTGCGTGTAGTAATGTGGTAGTGCTGGGCAGCTGGGCTACATGATCGCCACAAAAAAACACGAATGGCACTGCTTAACGACAGTAAGACCTGATCTGTAGCGTGGCGTAGCAGGCTGGGTCATGTCTCAAATATCGAAATAACTTATGGCCAGGCAGATCGTTTTGTAGGTACTTTCCACATTAGCAAGATCTTGGTTGGTAATTGACAGTCGGCTACGGTTATGATTGTACATGATGTTAAAAGATAGGAGCTGAAGACCGTTACCGATACCAGAATGGTGGCGTCGCTATGTGCCTGAGGTGTGTCGTGCTGACCTGTGCGTCCGTCTGACCACGCTCTCCTGTTCTCCGCAGCAGTACACCGCCGCGTGTCTGACCGCGCTCTCCTGTTCTCCGCAGCAGTACACCGCCGTCCGTCTGACCACGCTCTCCTGTTCTCCGCAGCAGTACACCGCCGTCCGTCTGACCACGCTCTCCTGTTCTCCGCAGCAGTACACCGCCGTCCGTCTGACCACGCTCTCCTGTTCTCCGCAGCAGTACCTGGGCGACTCGTCGAGTGCGGTGCCGATCGTACCGGACATCGACCTGACGGCGCAGACGCTGCCTGACGGCGTGACCGAAGAGGACGTGACCAACTTCACCTCCATCTACCGCGAACACTGCGAGGTGCTGCTCGATGCCGTCACCACGCTCCAGTTCAGCTCGGTCGAGATCATCTGGCAACAATTCTGGCGCTCGGCCAACAACAGCGAGGACATGCTAGACGAGGACGATCCGGAGAAGGTCATGCCCAAGCGTGTGTTGCACCAGCTCTGCGACTGGCCGCCCGTGCAGGACTACGTCAAGACCATGGACTACCTCTTCTACCAGAATCTGGTGGAGGTGCTCATCCCGGACGTGCTCCGAGCCATTCCGAGTAAGTGGGGCGCCGCCGCCGGTCGGTCGGTCTCGCCCATGAGGGGACATCAGGGCGGCTTGTGTGTGTGTTTGGGGCTTAACGATACGCTGAGCTGTTGAGGCTTGAAAGTGTCGCCTGCCTCCCACCCTGGCAAGGAGCACCGCGAGCTTGTATCAGTATCAGTGTCAGTATTTGGAAACCATCCACCTGCTGGTGATTACGGTTTCAGGTCATACACGTGCAGTATAAAAAGGCACACACAAAAGGCGCGCAATAACATGATACGAACGGTAGTCAAAGAGCTAAAACAAATTGCATTCGACGCTCGCCCGGTGTTCAAGATCCACTGTGTCTGACACGTGGCCGAGCGTGCTCCTGGCCGTCGCATAGCGCGGACTCCTGCTGCGCCTGATCCCGCGACCCCCGCAACAGCCGGACGGCAGCGCACCGGACCGCCGCTGTCGCCTGCCGACTCTGCTGCGGCCCGGGCTCCGGCTCCGTCAGCCTGTGCCGGCCGACCCCTGCTCGCCCGGCTAGCTCCCACCCCCTCCCCCTTGCGCTCCTGACCACTCCTCCCCCCGCTAGGGGCTCCAAACTGAGCCGCGTGCCCAGGGTTAGAGTTGTCAACGGGCTGAAACTAATTTCTGCCGCTTGCTGTTTGTTTTTATTGGTTCAAACTGGGATAGGCCGACAGACATTGACGAAGCTGTAGCATCCCTCTTTTTACTCATTACGTCACCACAATGTGTTTGTTATGTATCGCTTTCAGTCCAAACAGTGGAAAGAGCAAGCTGATACAAAAAAACGTGTTCAAAATGTGTGGCGTATCAGATATGATTGGTACACATAAGTATCTGAGCTTGTACCTTTAGACCGCTGAACGTGGTTCGTGTAACAACAAAGTAAACGACTTTGAAAGATTAATGCAATTAAATCTGCTTCAAATCAATAGCCACTGGCTGCTGCTTAAAATTTTATGGGTTAAGGCAATGCAAGGTCATGGCGAAAAATTTTGCTACATATTTGCAAACTATTGCCGCATAAATTTTGCTACTTCTGTAAATGCATGCGAGTGAAGACTGAAGCAAGGCCCACCAAACCTATAAGGCGTTCAGGGATAGGACTGCCAGACTTTTGGTGTTCCCATCCTTGTGCTCATATTTTGCATGGTGGATCCAATGGCGGGGAGGGGCACCGGACAGCAGAAATAATGCGTTTTGTTGTGAGCGGACCTGGAAACTCGGATTTTGCTCCCAAAACGGAATTTTCGATATGCTCATGCGTGTTTCAATAGCATTGTCCGCGTGGTGGACAGCACTTAATTATTAGCCAGTCAACTTCTCATGTATTTAACGATTTTGGAACGAGCTGTAGGAACACCAACAGCTGCATGGCTCTGTAATGATACACGCCACGTTTAGGATTAAATAGTGCAGAACTATGAAAAGGCTGCTGGTTTTGCCGCTTGTGCTTTTTATCGTCTTGTTTGCCTGGTCTGGGTCATCATCAGCCGGTATTTCACTGCCACAATCGGTTGATGTTAAGTGCCTATAGTTTGCAGTGTCACTCCCGCATGTAAGTCATGTTACATCACAGGGGTGATAAGGATTATTTATGTCACTTGCGTAATGTAAATGGACATTTCAGGCGACTACCAATTCTGACATCTTGCATTTTTGATCAGGTAGCCCTTAATCCTACTCGATATTTTTTTTAATGCTCAGGATATTATGCTGACCCGGTCCAGACCGGCTGGCAGCAAGTGTTTAAGTGGGCTGGTGCCAACGCTGGGCGGCCGTGTCGTTCGCCGCCCACTCAGCACTCAACAGGCTCCGCCCCATCCCCATGACGGCCTGCCCCAACACCGGGAGGGCCTGCCCCACCACCGTGATGGTCTGCCCCAACACCATGACGTCCTATCCCAACACCGTGATGTCCTGACCCACCACCGTTATGGCCTGCCTCGCCACCGTGACGGCCTGCCCCTCCACCGTGGTGGCCTGCTCTCCACCGTGGTGGCCTGCTCTCCACCGTGGTGGCCTGCTCTCCACCCCACGGACGCCGCCGTCTCACAGCCGTCCACGCGTGGTCGGCAGGCACGCTTACGCAGGCCATCCGCAACTTCGCCAAGACACTGGAGGGCTGGCTGCGCTCGGCCACCGAGAGCACGCCGGCCGGCATGGTCCTGGTCAAGCTGGGTGCCGTGTCGGCGTTCGCGCAGACTCTACGCCGCTACACGTCGCTCAACCACCTGGCGCAGGCGGCGCGCGCGGTCCTGCTGAACTCGGGCCAGATCAGTCAGATGCTCTCCGACCTGAACCGGGTCGACTTCGTCAACGTGCAGGAGCAGGTGAGCGGCGCGGCGGCGGACCACGTGAGGGGGCAGATCGGCGGGTGCGGGGTGTGAGTGGTGGAGAGATGTGGCCGTGATGCTGCAGGGCGACTAATGGACGTGGCGGTGAGGTGATACCGCAGATTGCGCCTGTCTGGCCATGCTCATACTACATAGTTGATTGCACTTGTCATCGAGCAGTCCCCGGTGGGCCGTGGCTTGTCATCGCATGCGTGGTATTCCAACGCTTGGCGACTCACGCTTCACCAAGGGCAGAAGGGTGGTGTTGTTGCTGCCTCAGATGGATCCTGTCTAACGTTACTGTTTTTTTGAACTTCATTGGTTTTTTTCAATTATGACTTTGTTGTATTAAATAACATTAATGATATATATATATATATATATATATATGTATATATATACACATATATACATATATATATATATATATATATATATATATATATATATCATTAATAATACATACCTATACATATGATATATGTATACATATATCATATGTATATACATATTCTTCCTGCTCTGTCCGATTAGTAATAAAATAAGAACCTTCTGCAATGAAACGTTTCAGTTACATTTGAACCCGCTTTAATCTGCTCAAATTGGCTTTCCACATCCTATTGGAAAACTAATAGTCGACGCTTGCACATTGGTAGTGGGACGGCCCCGTCCTGGGACAAATCTTTAACACATTTCGTACTTTGGATTTTGGTTTTTACGTTGAGTGCTCCTTGGAGGTGTGATGTTTTCTGCGTATCAATCAACTTTCTCTCTCTGGACCTCTATATATCACGCGCTTACTCCACGCCCTCTCCAAGCAAACCAATTTGACATCACTAATCGAGTGGCCCGGTGGGTTGAAGTGGATGGACGCGGCGTTGTCCACCGATGCTCTTTCTGTCCTGACAGTTGATAAATGGCTTGCGAACGGGTATATAAAGTCCCCTGTCTGCCGGATATAGCACACATTCACACACATTGCAATGAACACCATATATAACTTGTTATGTTTACATCCAATCGTTTGATCATACGCACCCGATATTTTATGCCCCTTTAATAGATAATGCCTCTGATGGTTCCACCCACAGATGACGCGGCTTTTCGCACTATTGTCCGCCCTTCACCTGACCTTTCATAGCGTTTTTTTTTGCGTATACCTTCTTGTCCTTCAGGCTTGACCCCTTCGGTAATGTTTCGGGTTAGCTAGTGAATGCTTCCCCTTTAGTGTTGGGGCAGTCCAAAGCGTGTTGTTTATTTTCATTCGATGCTACTCTGGCCCGTGTTGGACCCTGATACGCGTTATTGGGGATGCTGATGTTATCGTGACTTGCGTTCGAAAAACGTCGAAACCGGAATTTAACATGTGCATGCAATTTGATGATTCGGTTGTCATGTAACGCTACGTTATTTGGCGGCTTAGCCGCAAGTGATAAATTAGACTTAACTGGTTATATCTGACTAGGGCGCATTTCCCCGTGGGTTTACAACGTAGGACGTGAGTAAGCACTTACGTAATTTTCCTTAAATAATACGGGCTTAAATCGTTTAGAAGTTTTGGCACACGTCATGTCTTAAAATGGCATTAAAAGGAGTGTGTCTAGTCAAGTTATGATTTTTGACTGTGCACGTAGGATGGTAGAGAATTTCGATTTACAAATTTTGGTGTCATTGGTTTCTACAGTCGCCTCCACTGACGAGATATTGCTCCAGCCCCCAAATTTGCTTTGGTTTGTATGGAAGAACGAAGTTATCGGGTAGCCCCGAAACAATATTCACTCCTCAACAGGTTGACGTCATTGGGAAGGCATCGTTAGCTCCAGCCAATGCTTCTTTTTCGAGGATGTCGCTTGTCAGCGCCGACAGCAGCTGACGAACGCGGCGATGGTGGCGGCCATTATGTCGATGTTTTTTTTTTTACACTCAGCTGAGGGCTGCGAGTGTACGGGCTTCGACGTGTGGTGAGCTGGTCAGTTGATTCGCTGTAATCCATGTCGGGCTAATATATACTGAGATTAGGAACAATTATTGTGTGGCGTCAATCGGCTGCACCGGGGTCTAGGGAAATATGATTGTTCCACGTTGCCTAGCAACCAAAATAATGTATACGTTATCTAGCAACCAAAATAATGGCCCTGTCTCTAGCGCGCAGTTACTCGCCATACATAAGCCAATGCATTCGTCCTTTCCTGCCCGCTGATTTGTTTTGTTGCAGGATTGTGTTTGTTCACGCACAGCCATCGACGGGATCGATAAAGATAAATAAATCAAAACTGTTGCAAGACACAATTGTACATTTAGTTACCAAAATTAGCCATAGATAATTGTCAAACTCCCCTTCAGCGTGTATTCAGAAAACCGAAAATATTCCACTCAGATACACTCCCTTTAAGACGAAGATTATCGCGTTGCGTAACCGAAATACTCTGCCCTCAACGGTGTGTTTTGATCCGTCAGTGGACGTTGAGCAGAACGGGTGCCCATGCCCGGTTATCCGTTATCCGTTCTCAGGCACAAAGTTGACGGCCACGGAGAGATCGTAACGTGCCAATGTTACGGTCTGTTCACACAGCCAGTTGTTCTGGAGTGTTAGATGCGCGTCAAAAGTGGTTAAAGCGGGCGGGCTGCGCGTCGCCCCGTCCCTGTTCTGGTGACGTCATGAGGCGAACAGTGGCGTGTGGTAGGTGTCGGAGGGTGTTCAAATGGAGATCCAATACGGCCAGCTCGTCGGAGCGCGATTCATGCCTTATTGCCAAATGATGGCCCAAATCAGCTAAAATATTCAGATGTACCAGAAAGCTGCAATGAGTTTGCCATCGCTAATCGTGTGTTGGTATAACAGCTAGGCATTAAGCACGCGACCGAAATTCCTTGAGCTCATCTTCTTTAAAGGGCTGCCCAGTGCCCAGCGTGACCAGGCGGAGATGGGAGAAGAAGGGAATTCCTGTATAAGGCCGAGGTAGCAGCCGAAAAGTGGCACATTCAGCAAAAGGGTGACGTTGGTATTTGCATGTTTTTTCCGGGGGCCCGACGCGCGTGAAAAAACGCGTGTGAACAAACCATTAAATTAAACTTGCTGCGGTCTTCAGCGCTTTCTTGTCTTGCAGCGCTTTTTCATTGCGCCTTTGCAGCATATTTCCCTGGACAAATGCAAAACTACCCCATCGGCCTCCGTCATGCTACGCCTGTTACAGCTCTTTGCTGGCTGATGCCTGTAATGGGACCTGAAACATTGCCACCATTAGCCTGCCATACTGCCGTGTATGTCTAAGGCAGTTCCCCTGACGTCACCACTTCCTGACTCTGTGGTCGTGTCGCGTCGCGCAGTGCACCCGTGCAGGGCCGCTTTCCTGTCTGCAGCTGGCACTTCCGTTCGCAGTGCTCGCTGCTGCGTCTTGCATCGATCCGTTTCAGTCGATTCTCGGGGTCCGGTGGCCTTTTGCCACGGTAACGCAGCCCTCTCACGTAAGCACTAATTTGTGGGGTACATGTGGCGATTCACCTGCTAGTTGGGTTCTAGCTTACATTGAAATCAATGCGAGCCGTTTTGGGCAGTCTTGATTGGTCCGCAAAAGCTTTCTTCATGCTCATTTCTTTGATAAAACCGCTCCACCCCACTTGTTGGGGCCAAATCAACAACGGGTGCCACAGTGCCTCCCGCGTCCGTTGTAAGGGTCATAAGCCTTGTCTCTGACGCTTTTTCAGTGTTTAGTGAATGATTACGTTTTGTGTTGGTGATTGGGGAATGGTTGCAAAGCGGACTAGGCATTGACCGTACAAAAATGAGTTGGAATTGACATTTGGTGTTATCGTGGTACGTCGTTACCTTACGCATTCAACTTTTGCGTGGATTGACTGGCATTCGCCGCCAGGTGGTGGTCGTCCTATTTTAAACGCGATGCCCGTTTTGTTGTGTGCCAGACATGGTTTGCCACTGAAATATAACTTGAATGACAGTCCGCTCTGATGGATGGGATGTCGGATGTGATTGTTTCTGGTTGCAGGAAACGTCCTTAATGCCGAGCATTTGTCGGGCGCGGACCAATGAGACTTAATTTAGCCTCGATTTGTGGCCCAAGTACCTGTCAGACCTTTCATCAGTGAATGTGAGGCTGGAGGCTGCTCAGCGCGACCTCCGTCATCTGTGACCTCTCGGCGATGAACTCAGCGGATGCCGGTCGTCTCCACCGCCCCCGCGCGCGATCCTGTGGAAGACTAGCGTATGGTTGGTGTGGCCACCAGCCCAAGTCACCGGCCCCATCACGTTGCGCCTTATTCCAGGCGTCGTGGGTGTGTCAGTGCGACGACGGCCTGGTGCAGCGGCTTGAGGCCGACTTCAAGGTGACGCTGCAGCAGCAGAACTCGCTGGAGCAGTGGGCCTCCTGGTTGGAGGAGGTGGTCAACACCGTACTCAAGCCGTTCGAGGGCAAGCCCGAGTTCCCCAAGGCCGCCCGGCAGTTCCTACTCAAGTGGTCGTTCTATAGGTCAGCAATGTGATCGGATCTTGTGTCGCAGTGTGGTGTCCGTCTGGACTGGTTTGGTGGGTTGCCAGGCCCAGCTATGCGACGCAGTTATTGCCAGGGCTTCCCGATGTTGCCAAAACCCACGCAGAACTGTTGGAAATGTAGGAACTAAAGAACCCCCTGTCGCCATTCCAAACGTTGGTTGCATGGGTTCAGACCGTTTGTGCCCAAGTCAGCCGTGTCAGCGCCAACAGTCTTAAGATCCGGGCGCTCGACTTCCGGTGATTTATTGTGGGTGAAATGTGCTTGGCCGTATCGTTTTCTGCCCTGATGGCGCCCACCATACAGACCATGCTGCAGCCGGCAAGACATTGTTGTCATGAGACTATCAGCGTTGTACTTCCGAGCTAGCTTATGTCTTCCAAGATGACCAAATTGGCACGATCGGGTGAGATTTAAACGTGCCTTTCTTGGGAACAGGTTGCTAAGATACAAGTACCGGCCCATTACTGGTCTAAACGCCCTTGAGGACCCCATCATTTCTGATTACCCTTAAAAACACTGCGGTGTTTTACGTGCAATGCTGATAATGCCGGGCATCTGCGATGTGGTGGCCAGGATCACACGAACAGCCCACTATTTGTGCAAGGTACGATGCGATGGAGGCATCCGTGCCGAGGCCAAGATTGTATTTGGTAACGTTACCACACCGTTCGTAGCGTGTCAGGGTCTGTGGTGATGACCCGGTCCAGGCCCTGCGATGTGTGAGCTCGTGTTTTACATGTCTGTAGGTGTAGGTCTTTCTTTTTTGTGACCTGATCTGACCTGGCCTGGCCTGGACTGGACTGTCTTGACGGACCTTCCGTCACAGCTCGATGGTGACCCGTGACCTGATGCTGCAGAGCGCCGCCTCGTCTGACCTGGCCTAACCTGATCTGATCTAACGGACCCTCCACCGCAGCTCGATGGTGATCCGCGACCTGACGCTGCGGAGCGCCGCCTCGTTCGGGTCGTTCCACCTGATCCGGCTGCTATACGACGAGTACATGTTTTACCTGATCGAGAACCGGGTGGCGCGCGCCACCGGCGAGATGCCCATAGCCGTCATGGGCGACAGAAGCCAGCACCAGCACCAGCACCACCAGCAGCAGGCGCTGGCGGCCGCTGCCAGAGAGGTCAGCGCATCGCCAGCTGGTCAGCCCTGGCAGGCATGGTCACATTACGCGGAGATCCGTGTGCGTCGATGGCTAGCGGCGTTAGCCCCGGTCATGTTACATATCAGGCAGCCAATGTAAAAAGAGCGTGCTATTTATTGGCCGCCGTAGGCCAGCGGTGATGGCAGGGGCGGGCGGCAATAAGCAATACGGTGATCCCGCTCAATCCTTTATTTCGTATGAAATGTTCCCATCAAGTAAGTACTGGCATTAGCTCAAGGCCAATGATGCTACTCGGCGTAACGCCACAGGTCAGACACGTGAGCAGCATTGATCGATGAGGTCTGGTAGTGGGAGGGGTCTCTATGTGGAACAAAGCTCGCCCCCAGCTGGCCAGCTGGCTCCGGGATGCCAGAGATCAAACGAGGTGTGTTTCGGGCCGGCGAAAGAGACGGTGAGTCGTTACACGCCAGCACCAGACACCTTAGGCTGCGGACACGTGGGGTCATGCCCCGGGATGTTGACCACAGAAGATGCTTTACGTCCAGATTGGACTCCATTTTTTTTTTTTTTTTGGTTACAGCACCATCAAACTGCAGCGGTGGTAGTATCTGAAAGGTTATCTGCGGCGACTTCTTTTGGTGGCGCAATCTGTCGTATCGTTATCGAACACGATCACCCGGTGAAAATGGTGGAGCGCCTATAGCATATTAAAGATCAGAGCAGAGTGGGCGTTGATAGCGCGTGACCAGCGAGGAACGAGGACGGTAATTCAGATATGTGAGATGATGTTTCATGTGAAGAAAACCCGATGCATTCCAGCCGGACACGTTTGGAAAACAGATAGGATCAAGCTCGGTCACCTGCATTGCGTGAGAGGACCCAACCAGGCATGATACCAGTGCAGGGCATTCTGCACGCCGACTCTTAGCTACCTTCCCTCCATCAGTTATCCATTCATCCCATCTCACTCATTCACTTCCCAGCCCCTTATTGCTACTAACCTTCTGGCCATTGTGTCTGTCCTTCCCTTGCCACCACTCTCTCTTTCCCCTCTATCACGATCTCTGTCTCGGTTTTATTGTGCGTATTGTACTTATTGCTTTCTCCCTCAGTTTTCTCCGCCCGCATCCTGCATCAATAGTTTGTTGTCTTCCATTACCTGCCACAAGGCCACGGCGACATTGACATCAGCGCCACAAGGCGGTGGGCTGGCGCAGCCCGCTCTCCAGTTTGTCTGAGGGGGGCCTGTCACCTGCCCGCGTTGTGAATCCCTCGTCAGACGTCGATATTAAGCTCTCGAGCGGAATATCTCGCCAGGACGGCGTCTGGCCTCGCTGTGGGATGCTGTTGAGGCGGACTGTGGTTGGCTCGGAGGGAGGTTGTCGGGGTCACAGGGGGCCTAGCTGGAAATGCCAGATGTCGACGGCTCCCGCTGTGAAAGATGCGGCTGTGCACCAGGTGGATTCGGTGCAAACTCGCTCCGTGTTTCGGCCCGAGTTTCCACCCCGTGTCGAGTCGAACACCATGTGGTACTCTTGTATGGCATGACTGAAGGCTGTCATACCGCGATCTGCGAGCTGTAACTTCAGCCAAATGTTTATATTGCCTTGGTTAATCATAGTCATGTTGGAAACGTTCACAGCGCGTTTCACGTGGCACGCATCGTGTATATTGTTTTGTCATAGTTTTTCTAAGCTCGTGTAGGTTTGCTGTTAACCTGGATACTTAACCCCTTTCGCAGCAATGTAAGTTGTGCTTTTACCTGTCCCACCTGTATTCGTGCGACCAACCCGTCAAAAAGCTGTGAACCTGTGAAGCGGGCCTCATAAAAGTACACCGGGCGTTATTGATTTATTTTAACCATCGTCGGTCGGTTAGGAGCTCCAGTGTACCAGGTGCTTCCCATCAAGTACCCACTCTGGGTGGTCGGAGCTTTCTCTAGCTGCTCACGGATGACGACGAAATTTGGTCAGAACCTCTGTGCCTATGAACTGAGCGTTTTCATTTCCTGTCATATCAAATCACTCAGACGCGAACTCGCACTCAAAGGGTCACACTCCGAAGATATGCTTGGTGGTCGCTGTGCGGCGCACTCCTGTCTCGCCGCTGTGTGCACCCCATCATTGTCAATCGATGTTAAGTGATCTTTAAGAGTGTGTGGTGTCGTGTGGTGCACACTTCCAGTGTATACGACACTTGCCAGGACCATTTTAAGTCCAGGTTGCATCGGTTAGAAGTTCGTGAAGTCTTGTCCGAGTTACGTTATAATTAGCATGGCCCTTGGTGGAACCTCGCACGATACAGCAGCACGGCGCTGTCGGGCCGGCCTCGCAGCCAGCATCCCACGGCGGGCCGGCTACATGACTGTCGCCTGGCTGTGTGTCGACTGTACTGTTTCTCTCTGTTTTCTCAGAGTGCGTTCGACAATCCGTCCGATCTCCTCATGTCCAACGGGCCCCTGCTGGACCCTCTCTCCATGGAGCGCGGAGACGGCGACATCAAGCGGATGCGACGAGAGTGACAGCTTCAGGGCTTCGCCGCTAGATGTGTGGTCCGCGCCGGCCCGTGCCTGGCGCCTGTTACTCCGATCCTCCCTGCTGCTCAACCGGGCGGTTCGTCTCAACTGCGTGCGGCTAGAAGCCACCGGCCCTCGTGCTGGCCAAAGATACTGTGGCCTTATTCGGCGGACACCGCGTCCGTCGCACATTCCCGATCAGTAGCGCACCCGGCACCGCGGCAACATTCCGGCGCAACAGTATTGGCGGCGCTGTTGACGGCGTTTGTTCGAGCGCGTTCTTTTTGACCTGGCGGACCCTCCTCCGCAGACTCTACTGTGTACCTTGGCGTTTGGCTGGAACCGTGGTTGGCGCCGAGGGGTCGTTGGGCGGTTGGACACTGGGACTGCGCTCTGCCGCCCTCCTACCCCGGTGAGGGCGCCACGCGCCCCAACTCAGCACGCTGTCGCCGACTGGGCGGCTCGGGCTCCGCCACCAGCGGGCGGCGCGTTGATGTGCGTGTATTTGGATGTGTTTAATTCTGTATGGGGCGGGTGGTCGGGCGCCGGCCGTTGCGGGCAGCGGCGCTCGCCTTGTGCCATCTCACACCACGTACGCGTGTGCGTTTCTAGTCAACGGGGGCGGGGGCCCGCCGGCTGCCTAGCGCCCCGACCCGGGCCAGTCCGCTGGCATTCACAATCATCACGGTACTCGGATGTACCGGCTCGTCCCCGTGTGCCGCCAACTCCCCTCTTGGAATGCTGTTTGGAAAACCCAGCTTAAGTCGGAAACAATGCAATAGACCGCCCACTGGCTGCCGCGTCCATGTTTGCTGCCCTCGAGGGCCCTCATCCCGCCGTGTCCCACAGGCGGCCCAGACCGTCCTCCGGCCTCGCCTCGGCCCGGCCCTGGCCCGGCGCCCGCCCATTTCTATGTTGCTTTGGTGTCCTTGCCGTGGTTGTTGCCCGTCCCCGCCATGAGCACCCACCAGCGTTTGCAGTGTGGAGCCACGCGCTGGCCCGATCTCATCGCGCGCCGCTGTGTATGTGGGTGTGTGCGTGTGTGTGTGTGTAGGCTGCGCCCGTGCAGTCCCCGGCCAGCCGGCCGGCGGCGGCGGCGCGCCAGTCCAGCTTCGGACAACGCTGCCGCCGAGCGAGACTAGTTTCTGCCAATAAAGCCGCGCGCCGAGTCGGCGTTTGGTCGGCCGAAAGTGACGTACGGGGCCGGGTTCGACGGCTGAGAGATGTTAGGTGATGAAATTAAAAATGGAAGTTGCTGATCGACAAACACTGTTCTCGATAAGGCACGTCCGGGCAGTGCAGCCACGTCCAGATATGCATTGTATTGACAATCATGGATAGTTACATGGATGCATATACTGCGCAAGCAATTTACAATGAGCACTGCGGGTGCCAGCGTGCCCACGATGTGATAAGGTACGCCCCCATACGTCTCGCAATGAGTTACACCCCCACACGCCCAAACTTGTTCACATGTGCTTGAAGCCGGCGCAGTCGGCGGAGTCCCGGCAACACGGTCAGCAGTGCTTCTGGTGCAGACGCCGCTTGCCGGGACCGATACGGCGGCAAAACATTTCGCACTCGGCCGGACGGGACTAAGACGGCGACAAAACATCGGTCGGACGGGAATACCTCGACTGACTGAGGTCCTGCCATGCCAGTCCACGGCGAAAGGCACGCCAGCCACAGCCTGTCTCACGCACGGGGTGGAGCCGACTCTCGAGTCTCTCCGCGCGCCAACGCCACGCCTCGCCATCTATCATCGGTACCCCGAGAACGTCTGCAGGTCCTGGCGCACCCTCAGCTTAGTGCCGCCGCGTCCCGGCCCGCCGCGGGCGCGACCTCGCTGGCCATGCCTCGGGCCGCTGCCGTCCAGCAACCGGTGGCCCTTGCCCAAGCCGGGACTTCGTCGACATGGCGGGTGATAACGTCCACGCGAGAGACCGCCGCCGCGCGGGGGCCACACGCCCTCGCGGTCCAAAATGACGTCATCGTCCTCGGAACGGCCGGGCGTGTAGCCGCCGCCGCCAAAGATCCTGGGGATGGGCGTCTGGTCGACCAACCAGGTAACGGCTTCACCCCAGCGCGAGCCAGTGCCGCCCTCGCTGCGCTCAAGCGCCGCCGAGCCCACGCGGCGTCGCTTGGCCTCTGAGCTTGGCACGCCACTGCCTCCGTCCCGAAGACCGTCCGCACTGTCGCGTCGACCGTCCCCACTATCCTTGCCCCCGTCCGCTCTGTCCGGCCGGCCGCCCGGGCTGTGCCGCCAGCCGTGCTCCCGCTGCGTGTTCTCGCGGTCCCAGCTCCGCTCGCGGCGATACGGCTCGCTACGCCCGCCGCGCTCTCGCTGGTCCTGCCTGCTCTCTCCCGGCGGACGGGACGGCGCCAACCACGGTCCGGCGCGCACGTGTGTGGCTATACCCACCGGCTTGCGGTCCTCGGACTGCGCGAGCGGCGCGGCGGGCGGCGCGCTCGGCCGGCCCTCGCTGTCGAACACGATCCGGGAGGGCTGCAGCGGCGACGGCTGCGGGCCAGGCGGGCCAGCTCGCGGCGGCAGAGGCCGCGGCGAGGAGTTGCCCGGTCTGGCTGGCGACGGCCACGGCCTTCCCTCCTGATCAAACACGACCTTGGACGGCCGCGGCGGCCACGGCTTGCGCGGCGGCGCGGACGCCGAGCTGGCTAGCGGACTGTCGATCACCCTGGTCCCCCGCGCCGACGAGTCGGCCTCCACCTGCGCCTCGACCGCCTCCACCGCCACGGCCGCGTCCGCCGCCGCCACCGCCTCGGCCGCCCTCTCCAGTCGCTTCGTCGTCTTCTTCTTGGCGACGGGGAGCCTGAGCTTGAGCAGGCCACTGTCGACGGACACGCCACCCGGCTCCAGCTGCAGCCGGTTCTTCTCCATGGGCGTCCTGTCGCCGTGCTCCTTGGCCTTGTGGCGGCTGAAGTAGTGTGGCTTGACGAACACGCGCGGGCAGTGCGGACAGGCGTACATGTCCGGCAGGTTGTGTAGCGTCGGGGCGGTCTTGGTGGTGATCTTGGAGACCTTGGATGACCGCACCTTGACGGCCTTGGCGGCGGACTTTGTCGGTTTTTCTGAGGAGCATGGTAAGGCAGGTTGGCGATAAGCCAGGGCTGGATTTGCCAGGCGTTGTGTACATTTAAACCGTTCAAGACCAGAGTTACCACAGATTCTTCAAATGTGACAAGATGAACGACCATTACATTCGAAACACCACACATCTGCTCGATTCAGAAATATATAGCCAGGCACGGCGTCCGATTTCGAGTCTGGTGGGATAGTTCTTGTGGGTCACTGAGTTTGGTGCCTTACAGCTTTTGGAGCCAGGCACTCCAGACCTCGCCTCCAGGAGGCATGAGATTCGGACTCCTGGGACATCTCAGCCCCTGCGACCTGCACTCCACACACTTGGCGCTAGGTGTCATCTCACAGGACGATGCGAGTTGAAATGTGTGAGCATCAGATTCACAGCGTCATCCTCGCCAAAGCCCCAAGAGACCGGCATCAGTGATAAATTAGATCCATTCATGAATGAGAGTAAAAATTATGAAAAAGTCACACATATGAGAACTCGAAATTGTTTGTGAAAGGAAACAATTTACCATCACAGATTTTGAATGCCGACACACTCATCACGTTGCCCGCATATAAGAAAGAGATGAGCAGTTGAAATATGCATTTTTCAATCTTGATAATTCTTATATCTCAGATTGCACAAAAAGCTTTCGCGGCAAAATTGGCTCAGTCAAGTATCATTGGCTCATTCCTCAGTGTCGTTTACCGCAAAGATGTCTTAGGGCAGTGAAATATCTCCCAGCCGAGACATTTAAATGCCCTAATAGTGGCACAACACAGAGATATAGAAGACTGAAAAGGTCTAGATTAGAACACAAAGCAAACCCAGAAACAGATAAGCTGACTCCCAAAAAGGTCATCACTTTGCCCATCGTCGAAAATTAAGTTTATGGAACCATCAGGTTGACGAGAATAGCATGCAAGATAGGAACACCCAAGAAAATACAACGTACAATTACGCTCACATTTACAGATACTTCAGGTATACAATAAGAACACAGCGTCACTTATAAAGTGAACGCAGTGTGGCGGAAGACCCAAATTTCCAACATGAATCCACTGTCCACTAGCTAACCTACAAATTTCATCCACTAACTATACTCCAATATAATCTACTCAGTCTACTAACTTAACAGCAGATAGCAGTTCAGAAAACCATGTCACCGCCGCTACCGGGGCGCAGGAGCGTCCTCCAGCGTTTTCCATTCACGCACGTCCCATTTCTGAATACAGATTAGTTTCGATCATTCTTGGCTGTATAAATATTTGAATTTAACTGCCTGTATTCATACCTTCTACACATCGCACCAGCACATAGGCATGACGGGAAAAAATCCTCTATCGACTGCGCATTGGTCATCTTCTCCTCTACAAAAATGAACTCCAAGAAACAACAAAGGATGACTATGGCAAAACTCAAGGTACTGTACTGGTAAAAATATTTTCGACTGGTTTGGAGGCAAAAGAAATCTTTGCTCTCCAGTTTGTCCTTTTTAAAGCGCATCTCCAGTGGTCCCTTGGGAAATGATCAAAAGTGTGACCCTAAGTACGTCGCCTTCCATTTGCTGCACTGCCGCTGTTTTTGGACGCTAATCTTGACAAGAATACTCACCCACGGGTCCGACAGCTGTCGACGGCGACAGCGACGCTGTATGCTTCTTTCGTTGTTTTCCAGCGCTTGGCCTCAGCACCGAGAGGACAGCGGCTGTAAAATTAGGCGAAAACGCCGACACGCTTTCGGATGTTGCTTGGAATGCCGTAAATGCCACAGTCGTCGAGTTCCTAGAGGATTATTTAAAAGCAAAACATTGCAATAGCAAAAACACCTGACACATAAACTGAGAAGTGAATACAAATGCATGCATTTTTAAACATGCATACAACACAATTCTGACCGCCTACACATATAACTGCTTACATAGCACATGGACAGTATCAAGCAGTATGCCTAGACATCTGTCATAACCATATTACGATTGCGGGATCGCCAGACGCCGGCCGAGGCACTCACTGCTCATGGCGGCCGGCCCGGCACCGGCCTCGTCCTCAGAGGAGCTGTCCGACCCGTCCGGCTGGGCCAGCGCCCTGGCCTGCCAGTTGCCGACGTCAGCTGCTGGTGCTGGTGCTGGTGCTGGCGGCGGGCAGCCGCGGTAGGACTCGTCTGGCGGCGAGGCGCTGTCCGGCCGCTGGCGGGCGTCACACACGCGTCGCGGTCAGACACGTAAGAGGCAGGGCAGCCGTCTTATGGGGGTAAATACGAAGGTACAGGAGCAAAGGAACCAATATTGCAATGCCAGGCATTGCTCAATCTGAGGTGAGTGGCCTGTTATGCTTCTATATTATTTGTAGCAGTGAACACAACACATAGAAGACATATAATTGCCCTTGTTTGTGATATTCTACAATATATGATGACCTCCACGGTAGCTGTTGAAACAATTCAAACCCATGCTTTTGTCCCAGTGAGACTTCCACGACAGGATTTCCAAAACACAGACATTTTCCACATAGATGGCGATAACATCAAGATGCAAGTTTTGTGCAAGATGCAAGATGCCACCTTTCATCAAGTTTTAGTAGCTACAGTCCCCGATACTCAGCGATATCAATACAGATCAACAACCACGTCTGATAACATCACGTCGCACAAGGCCCTTTGTCATTTTGCCACGCCCATTGCCACTTTCACACTCCACCAACCATGGAAATGTGCAAATTGAAACAAAAAATGTGCCATGTATGTGGAAAGTCCAGTACCGTTCTGCGTCCCTCGCTCCGCGCCCCAGCACGCCCGCCGTGGCCCAGCTCAGTCAGCTGCTGTTCAGCGTCGGCTTCGACGTCGACGTCGGCGTCAGCGTCAGTGCTCTGGCACAGACCACGAACTCCCCACTGACGAGCCAGAGTGAGGAAGGCACTGAGTCGGCCCTGCGCCACGTCCACCTCGCCCGAGTACATGAAGTTCACCAGCGAGGTCATGTCACTCGTGTGCACGCTGCCCAGGTATATGACCACATCTCCAGCATGGGTCTGTAGAGCACGGTCAGCCACCATCACCATGGACATCACAGGCATGGTCAAGGTCATCTGCATGACTGCAATTCCATTCAAGAGGCATTGGCGGGTCTCCCTCTTTGAGGGTCAGAGCTGATGTTGAGCAAGACCCCTCAAGCAAGCAAGAATCATGGGCCTCTCTTGATTCTGCATATGACTTTGGCCTTCAAATGTCTTTAACACCTTCCCTGTTTAAGCTGCACCCCATCAAGATGTTACTGTTAACAGTCAAGACCATAGTTACAGTCACAGCTCAAAATCACAATCTTACATGTCCAACTTATACCTTATGACACCTTACCTTGAGCAAGTCATAAAAGTTCTTGCAAGCTGAAGATAGGATAACACGGTGGCATTTGATGCTTTTGCTGCCATTGGTGATGAGGACATCTGAGAGATCCTCTGACTGCAGCAGTTTGCAGAACAAGGAACGCATGTCATCCTGGTAGGATGTCCATTTCAGCTGGATGCTCCTCTCAGGCATGACTGAAAAGGGAGACTTCTGGTCCAGGTGAACACATGATTTTGTAGTGGCATGACATTGGAATGGAAATGTTAATGAGTCAAATGCTCCAAAGCATGTAACTCCAACTTCCAGAAAATAAAGGGTTATGGGATCCATGCATACACCCTCTGATGTCTGATAGCTTCTCAGATGGATTATGATATCATGGATTCATGCCAGATGAACCTCATATGGTCTCTATTATTGAGTACTTTCCAACAGAGTTATAAGGGATTTCAGAATGCAAGTAAGACTGTTTGGATAACCTATGTGAATGCCATGCTTATTTGATCATTCACATGTCATTTCTGATTATATACATAATTTTCTTCAATCTTGATTTAGATCACAACTTTTGGAGCCATCTACATTTACAGAATTACAGCCTTACAACAATGACAAACCCAGATCAAAAGCTTCCATGCACTTTTACATCCTATAAGACTTTTATGAACCTGTAGTTGTGGGCTTACCGCATTTCTCCACTAATGTTCCTTTAAACTTAATGCTCAATTCCTAGCAGGCCCAGGGTATCCCATAAAGCTCTAAGGTTATTAGCAGAGAAATTTCAAGCCATATGGTCAATTGAAAAGCTTCAGGCTACCATGGAAACTCTCCTGGGGTTACTTTATAAGCCAGACTGTTCTTGGTACTCAAAAAGGCTTACATATCTTTGTTGTTGGTTCCCCCAGTTTCCAATGACAAACCACTCTATCTTAATTACCCAGCAAATATATTAAGTAACATACATTCAGGAAGTCAGTGCTGATGTTGAATCTCATCAGTTTCAACATAATAAAATATGACATAACACATTCCACCAATAATTGTTAAACCTTATCAGTTTCAACATGACACATGGCATGACACCTTCCATCAATAAACTTACATGATACATGCAATGTGCACAATGATGTTATCAACATATTTGAACTAGCCATCAACTAAATTCAGTGGTGATAAGTGAACCAATGAGTGCGGTGCTTGCATACATCATGCTGTTGTCGGTATCCATCATACGCATATGCATGCATGACCCTGTTCACTGATTTCAGATCGACTCATGACACTAGCTGACCAGCAGTTATCACGTACCTACCTACCTACTCTCTCCCCTTGTCACTTAGAACACACAATGCGTCCCTCCCTATATTGCACAGCGACGAACGCAAATGTTCATTCGAAAAACTGCTACAACTTGTCCGCTCCTAATGGCAAAATCGGCATCATGCGTCGACACGCGGACTTTTCAATGGATAAGTCACGTTTCTTGGCGTCCTCTCACTTTCGTATCTGAGTTCCAATGTCTGAGCCGCGCTGTAATTGTACGAACCGCCCGGCACCTTCCCAATTTTTCTATCTATTCTGAACCCATTAAGATAAAACATAGCAATTGCCACAAAATAAGCCTAAGGGCCTCTTATTGCGAAGGAAAGTTTAAATATTTTCAGGTGTACCAAATTTCTGCATATTTTCTTATCAGAAACCCAAGCTATGCTCTCTGAATCACATCAAGGTGTCTTCGCACATACCTCTGAGAGCAGTGGCGCAGGCAGTGGGGCCACAAATGGCACGTGCCTTCCTCAGGTTCCGCGGGTTTTGAAAGACCCCCGGTATCTACGATTAAGGGCCGATTTCAGGGCCTGAGGGGCTCAATAGGTCGGCCGGTATGCGGCTGTGTTGGCGTGTCGTGTCGGTATGGGTCTGAGGGCCCACTTCTCTGTCAGCTACAAAGTCGGGGCTAGCGATTACACTGATCAGGGACCCTGTATCTGTCAGGGGTCTGCAATGCATAGCAGAGGAACCCGTGTTTGCAAGCGGCCCCGAGCCGACCAAGGACAGTATTCGATGAGCCCCGAAGAGAGGACCGGGCGGCCCAGCGGAGCCGACGATCAGGGGCTCGTGTGGAGGGCATGAGGGCCCGAAGGACTGGCTGCAAGGGTCATAAATAATCGCAGCCCAGGCGATCGTGACCCGAAATATCAGTCAGAGGTCCTCTGGCACCGTTTCAGGACTCCTGAGACAATGGGGGGCGTTTCAGTCGGTCAGAGACGGCGATCATTGAACACTTGACTTCCTGTCAGTCTGAACCCTGGGAGCCCATTTCCCAAGCAGGAGTAAGGCCGGGCGCCACGACTTCCATTAGTCTGGGTCTCTGAACCAATGGTTGGGGCCCCTGTGTCGGTCAGCGCCCAAAGCACCTAACAGGGGGTCATGTTTCGGCTAGATGTAGTCGGCCCCGAGTCGGTCAACAGTTACAGCAACACGAAAAATAGATATTCCATTTTTACCCTTCCAGTTTCATCACCAGATTCTAGCCAGCACCACTTAATGGTGCTCTAACACACGCCCGGGTGGCCGGTTGGATGTCCCTCGCTCGGGTGGGGGGTCAGATTGACCCCCCTGAAATCTCAGAAACTAGGAGATCTCAAGGCGTCAGCTAGAGACACCAAATTCACAAAATGTGTTGGCCCAAACGTGAATTTACTTGGGTCAAAGTTTGAGGTTCCCAGGTAGGTAGAATGTTTTTTAAAAATTATTTGACCGGCGTCATTTTAGGTCAGTCCATTTTCTGACCTTAAGGAAGTCCATGGAAGATACATAATGCAGTTCCTGTTATCAATAAACTCAGAATGAGTACCAGAAACTATCACACAGCAAGCCCTACAATAAAAAAACAAACTAGTTTTGACCCTGGTGTGACCCTCATACCTAACCATAGCTGAATGGAATTTGTTCATTCAATTGGTATGTTGCCTAAGAAACTATCTCAGAGATGTATGGCTTCGTCTAACACCTCGTCGTTGCAGCAGATTGAATGATTCCTTAGACATTGATTTCGCTGAATCCATGACCTGACTGACCTGCCGTAGGTACTTTACAGGTACATCTAAATTTTTGAAACCAAACGATCCGCTTTTCAGTCTTCTATGGCTAGGCAAAAATTTGGGCACGGCTACGCCACCGTTTGGAAACCACTCCGGTAAAAGCTTTCGGATGGGGGGGGGGGGGAATTGAGCCCCACCCGATAGCGTGTCAAATGCCAGTCTGTTCTTAACATCAATCTAAAAACTACGACCGCTTAATATACATCCGGACTGTCGTCTAAGTGCACCCTTCGATGTCCTTAAGCGTTCAAAGGTACTTTTCAGATTCGTCACCATTTTCGTCCATCCGTCTGCCACGGCTTAGTGTTAGCCAAGAGACCAACGCCACGCGGCTTATGGAGACTGCAACGTCTGGCGTCGGGGTTTTTGTTTCTAAGATATGCGAGCGTGCATGTTCAAAACTATGCACATTTGTATCGTTTATTTGACTAGTCGATTCTGACTGAATTTGGAACATTTCCAGACAAACAGGGCTTGGCCAAGCTAAAACAAATTGTTAATCCATTTCGATATACGGTCTATACTCGCGTTATCCCTTTATCTTTATAAAACCCAGAACAAAATCTGACAGATCTTCTTATCTTCATGGGCTTAGAAAAATTATAATTGGCAATTCCCAAATGAATAGCGCCGGTGATTGATTTCATGCAATCGTTTACCGCAAGATTTCTACAGTTCATTGACTATTAAAATCAAACAGAGCCTGTCTTGTGGTAGCTTCTGACTTCTGTTCCACTTGTAGGGGGAACAATGGCAAATATAAATGATGACAAACTGATATTCAAATTAGAAATTCAAAACGGCTGCGCCGGTGTGAACATCGAAACACAATCGGGCCACCGCATCAGGCAGGATACCAGTAACGGAGCCAGCCCGCGGCCTCGCACAATCTCTTCTGCCAAATGTTTCCTCGTTTTGCACCGCTTCTCTATGCTTGGAGGACGTTTGTTTGAATTGTTGTCATCTGGTGCATGGTGGACAGTCGAAGTCGTTGACATTATTCGTGTTGACCCTGGCAGGTGGCTGCTAGCAGCATAAAGTCAGCATTGTGTGGTGAACTCGATTATCAGTCCCTTTAATACCAAGGCACGCCTACGCAGGTAGCGTCGTCTCAATCGACAAGTACGAGGCCAACGGCTTCGCCCACGCGAGGACCATTCGTCAGCGTTAGCGTTTGGCCTCAGCATCATCATTCACTGGTGGAGCATCACGCAACATACTCTGTCGAGGAGCCAGCTGGTGTATTATCATACAAAGCTACGCAGTTACATCTACATTGCTGACAACATCCGCCATCGGCGAGTGCTTACGTAAGTCACTTTAGGCGCAGTTTTATTGGTGCGGTTCAACCATGCCGACAGGTGGCTGAGGTCATAATGCATTGCAGGCACAATTCACAACTGCGACACGAACAGTGGCCAGGAACAGTCCGACATCGAGAAGGCAGCGGAGCCATCGTCTTGGACGACGGAAGAGCGGGTGGCGCGCCAAAATCGAGTGTCGGAAGCAGCTGCCCTAGAATTTGGAGCCCTCCCCACCCATGGAAGAAGCGGCCTCACGTCAACGACAGAACCAGGTCGAAAACGGGCACACGTCATGTCCTGAAAATAGATTTTCATAACGTCAAAATCAACTTCAGGCCATTCATCCACGCAGAGGAAAGACACATCAGAAAATACACGTCAAAGCACATGATCCGTCTCGTCATGGAATGTTCCACATTATCACAATTCCCTCCTGGAAGGGTTACGAGCACTCGGTCACCAGTGACTTCACCAAGCGGCGGGTATTACACGTAAAGTCGTTTTAGGTTCCACTACGCAGCGCTACGATCTGCTGAAAATGCCCAGGATGGATTTTTTGTGTCGGCCGGGCGTGGTCGCTCCCGTGCTCGAATCAGAGTCGGATGCTTGCTCAATTTGACTCAGTTTCTTCTTCATCTGCTCGTCGAGAAGCTGTTGCATGTCCGACTGCAACGATATGCAGAATACGGTCGGAAATCATCGGAGGACATCCTGGTAGCAACAGTTTCATTTATTCAGCACGCATTCGGTTAGTGTATCATCACACAGAAAATGCCACGCATAGCGCGGAGCAGCCAAGAGAGCAAAATACAAGCAAAAGAATGCTCATCGACAATGTGAGTGGTGACTTAAGCGTAGGCAGCTAGATGAAGGATTCTTTTTTTGCTGTTCATTTGTCTTGACCACAGAATACCTGTTCTTGCCTGCATAACTCCTTAACAGAGCTGCGACCAAACCGACAACAATGCAGACATTTGTTGGAGCTCGACCGGTTGCGATCCTTCACACAGCTCGCTGGAGGGCGTGCGTCCACTGACCTGCCACTGGTCCAGCTGGCAGGAGAGCTCCACCTTCTGCTGGATGGACTCGAGCAGCTGGGAGTTGATCTGCATGACGTCTATTCTGGCGCGCGCCAGCTCGATCTCGGTGGCGTTCTTACGCTGCACGGCCTTGTCCCGCACCTCCCACGCCTGCGGGGGTGACAGGGGTGACGTCAGCCGGCGCACTGCGCGTGGAGCGGGGCGGGGGTTCGGGTGTCGGAGCGCGCGGCTGAGAAGGGACCGGAGAGGGCCTGTGAGATGTGACGTTATCTGGCGGACGGTGCGTGGGCGGCGCGGTGGGTGACGGAGTGCGCTGGTGAGAGGGCATGGGAGAGGGCTTGCAAGAGCTGACGTCAAGGAGTGACGTGAGGGCGAGGATTTCAAGATGACTGTAGCATTATTTTCTTGGAAGTCAAGCACAAAAACCCTCAAGATTGTCGTCGACAGAATGACCACACATATGCCTTCCTGTCCCTCACCGTTAAGCTTACCTTTTTAATGAGCTCTTCCTTGGACATGTGTGTGCTGTTGAGATCTTCCTTCAGGATGTCACGCTCCTCCTTTAAAGCTTCATATTGTTTTTCTTTCATCGTCAGCTGAAGAGGACATAAAATGGTTGGTTATTTGCCGTCATCATGTTCGGAGACGAGTGCACGACATGAGAAGTGAATGTGAAGATATATTTAGCCGGGGGCCGACCAAGATACTATGTATACTGCTTATGACCAAATCGGCCTCGTGAACGGGTTGAATACGTATCACACATCCGCCACCCGACAGGTACGTACGCGACATGAATCTAAACAATACATCAGTGCCCCCCCCCCCCCATCTCCAACCCGATCGAGGTACTTTCCATGCCCATGCGCCACACGATCGCTAGGTCTCCACCTCGCAGGGTCTACACCAGTGACCCTGTAAACACTGACCTAAACGTTGCCCTAATGCACACGCCCATTTCAGCTGTACCTTCCAAGCGGCATTCGATAACCTGAGCGGTGCCGACCTCACTGTCCTGACCCCTGCGGCAGCCCGCGGCTCCAGCTGTCGGGCTCGGCGATAATCGCAGCTCAGCTGCGTTTGTCAGTGCAGCGGCCGATCTCGGACGACTCGCTCGTGTTCCGTCCCCCTCCCCCTCCCTGCTGTGGGGCCCCGGTACAGACGGCCGGTGCTGAACCACTTGTCCTTCCCCACCCGACAGGCCGCTCCGTCGGCTCCCCTGGACCGGCCCGTCCGCCTCCGCGTGTCACCGGCCGGCCGCCGCTCACCTGGTGCATGTGGCGCGACAACTCCTCCGCCTGCCGCTTCAGAGTGTCGGTCTGCTGCGTGTGCCGCTTGTCCAGCTGGTCGTACTTCTCCTGGACGGCGTGCAGGTCTATCTCCATCTGCAGCTGGGAGTCGCGGCCGCAGGTCTCGCACGCGCCCTTGCGCGGCCGCAGTAGGTCGTGCACGCGGCTCTGCAGCTCCTTGAACACCTCCTGAAGTAGTCCCGCCTGTGGGACCGGGAGCAAGGCTTATAAGCGAGGTTCTCGAAAAGAGTGGAACAGCGCCGCCTGTGGCACTCCCGTCTGTGGGGATAACTTGGAATGATGGATTTGGGGGATGAACTAAACCCCCACTGAAAAGAACCTTGTTTGGTATCAGAATAGATTCCGACCTTACCCAGTAAAGTAAGAGCCTGACACTAACAACAACTTGGGACAAACCCGGCTCGAATATCCAGCCGTGGCGCAGCCGGTCGGGGCCGTGATGAGGTGCGTGGTTTTGCTGGATTATCACCGGAGTTGGGTTTTCCCCATGCGTGACCTTCCCTCCCCTCACGCATTAACTCGCGAAGCAGGGCATCATACCGGAAAGCGGAGACATCTGGGCATCAGATAGCTAGTTGTCGACTTTCCAAACCGGATCTATTCAGCGGAATCGGAGGCAGTTGTTTGCCTTGCACGGCTTCAGGGAAGGCATTGACCGGCAGAGCAGAGAGGGGAGGGGGTCGGACCGAAAGGTCTCCTAATCCTGTCGTCCGCGCGGCAGTCAACGGGCTTCTTTGTTCTGATTCGCCGGCGGAAAATCACGCGGCGCACACGTGATCGAAGTGTCGTGTGCTCATACGCATTTGTGTGGCAAAGGTGTGGTGTGGGATCGAAATCGCGCTAGATGAGCGTTTGCAAATTTCCGGTACCACGTAACAGCACACAGTACACGACATATGATACATGTCGTGACGCGTACAGTACAAGCATTCTCAGTAAAGAAAAGTTTGTGATTCTTGTTCTCTGCTTGAAAAACCGCCTCATCCCAGCTGCAGCTCTGCCGCATAAAGCTCCCCTTCGATCTGGCTATAATTACGCGGTTCTAATTCCCTTAAAAAATAGTGTGAACGAAAAGCGTCTAGTGTCATGGTAGCAGACAGCAAGTCATAACACGCTATATCACTAGGGGCGGCGGCGAGCGTCGTCATTGCAAAATAAGTGAGTGCTTTGCTGGACATGACATGGTCACCAATGAAGTCACGTGCCGCGAAATTATGTGACACGATATGATAGCGCCAACACAAGCAGCCGACGCGTGCAGCGCACTCGCGGCGTGCGCTGTTTGGCCGGCGCCGGCCCCGGTCACCGCTCACCTTGACCTTGTGCAGGGGTACGTCCTCAGAGGAGGTCGTGTCCAACGAGTTGACCGAGTTGCGTCGGCCGGAGCGCGACCGCTCGGTCAGCGTCCTCATCTGCATGTACACGTCCAGCACCTCGCGCTTCAGCTCCCGCAGCTCCTGCGCCTCGGTCAGTGGCACCAGCGGCTCGTCACACTCCACCTCGTCGTCCAGGTTCAGCAGGTTCTCCTCGTTAGCCTGCAGGTGCGAGCCTGCGGCGGGAGAGGCGGGTTCAGTCAGGCGCCAGGGCCAGCACGCACGGCTGCGCATTGTGGGCTGAGTTGGCACGACTGCCGACAGTGATGCTTAGTACATTGGGTACCGACATCACCAATCATGGGCGGTGGCTGTCGAGCATCGGAGGGATCAGCAGAAGACAGACACTCGGCCGTCTCGTGGCCGGCTGCCAGGACCGGGCCGGTCTATCTGCGGGGGACGCTCTCCTCCGGACACGGGCGGCAGCCTGGCCCGCGCACCAATCGACCATGTTGCGACATCGGAGCCCAGCTATCTTGAGCGAGACACATCGATTTCATAAAGCAGAGATCACCGATCTTATAAGCAGATAGATCACGCTTGAAACGCTTGACTGTAAGCAGTTAAGAAGCGCTCTCGGGGACCCCGATGATTCCAGACACTTTTTAGGAAGTTGTAAGGCGCATGTCATTGCGATGCCCTATGAAGCACAAGCAGCTACGACGGCCATATTTGCGCCAAGAGACAAAACATCAGCCAAGTATCCCGAACCTAGGCCTACCGCGGGAAACCATGCTTCCATCTGAGCTGCTTCGCCTCGGATTCCATCCAGATCACACAGCTGACAAAGCAAGCGTATACAGCATATCTTTTAAAGCGTCTATTCACGTTCATCGGAATGTTGCGCATGAGCCGACGGTGTGCCCCGTCCAGAATCGACCAGTCGCAATATCCAAGCACCAGCCAATGATCCGAGCCGTCTGCCGCCAATCAGCGGTCGGCAAGCACCACGACACCACCGCTGATTGGTCCCTGGAGCCGCGGCGTCACTGCGTCCAACCTAGGTGGAGCCAGGTATTTACTCATCGACTCAGCAATAGTGCATTGATCGGTAAACATGCCTTAGCGCTCTCGGGCACCGCGATCGAGACAATTTTGCGGCTGCCTGGCGTGGCGTTTGTCGGCCGACACCAGCGCTAGATGCCATCGCGATTAAAGCACTGCAAAAAATATCGTAACTGATCGCCGCTCGACGACTCAACGGGAGCCAGCGGAGAGGCTGGGCAGTGATCATTAGAGACGCCAAGTCCATTAGTGAACCACCGATCCCCATTGTGGCGCCCCATGTTCAGAGTCCGATGCTATCGAGATAGGCTGGTACACCGCGCCGGTCCACCGGGCCCAGGACCGTTGGGAGCCATGACCACTGCCTGGACTGCAGTGGCGCGGCACTGCTGTTGTAATCGGCACCGATGCGGGCAAAATATTTCACCAACGCGTTATCATTCGATAGAAATTGCAGTGACTTTGCCTGAATATAAAAATAAATTACTCGCTGGCATCAACAAGTAACTCTTGAGCATGCCAAGAGCAAACAGCAAAACAGGCCCGATTGGCTACCGTACTCCCCAATTACTTCGACTCTAGGTGCCGTGGCTGCATCGTCACCCAGCGCCCATGCGCACTTGAACGACTCTGCATCGTGCAGCCGTTTCCGTCGTCTGCTTACTGCTCGGCGCTCGCCGACACGCACCTGAGCTGATGCCCTCGTCTGCCGACATGTCCAGCTCGTTCATCAGAGACGTGTGTGCCGTGCTGGGAGACGAGTGGCGCGAGAGCACCTCCAGCCGGTCGGTGAGCGAGGTGTTGGTGGCGGCCAGCTCGCCCACCTCCCGCTGCGTCTGCCGCAGCTGCCCGCTCTGCTCGCGACTCAGCCGCTCCAGCAGCAGCACCCGTTCGGCAGACTCGTCGAGCTGCGAGTTCAACTGTTCGCGCTCCTCCAGCAGCGCCTGCACGCGCCGCTCCAGCTCCAGCCGCTTGTCCGTCAGGATGTTGATCTGCGGCAGCGGGGGCGCGGTCACGGCCGGGGAGCGACAGCGATCACACCGGAGGGCTGTTCCGCGGTGAGCGCAGCTGTCACACATGTCTGTCGCACTGGTTGTTCCTATATGGCCAATGATGGATTGACCTTGTAAGGCGTGCGGATCTGGCGGCATGTTATCAGACGCTTGTGAAAAGTCACGAGGGTCGACTATGGAGCGAAGACACAGTTTTAGTTTCTCGGAAGCATAAGCGTTGAGTGAACGTTGAAGGAACGGGGATATCACTGCCTCTACGTCACGTGGCTTGATAAGCGGTACGCTTGTGTGCTGGAGTGATACGATTGTATTCAACCATGCACTCGAGCGCAGTGTGCCAGAATCTGCACGCTGGTACGATTTACATGTCGCTAGTCTAATCGGAGCACTTTCGGCTTCATTTTCTCGGCGTAGACACCAAACAAAGAGCGGTTAGTGTGGATATTTACGCCAGTGCTTCCTAATGTTCATGTGCTTTTGTAATCTATGAAAAATATTTGTATGGTGGAGGCTCTCAATTGACGCGGCCACGAAGCTGATGAGCTTCGTAAGCAATGGGCTCGATGGGCTTCGTAAGTAAACAGTAAGCAGAATAAAATAATACGGATTAATGTGAAACTGGGGACGACAAAACACACAGACGTACACGGCAGGCGACAGTCCGGGAGGAGCGGCACGGGCTATGGGACAGCGCCTATGCAACGATGACCACATGGAGTGTTTATCCACGGGAGTGGGGTGTAGACATCAGACGCCATGTTGACACGGGAAGGGGGCAGTGGCCGGGCGCTCCCCTTGAGTCCCACGGCATCCGGGCTGAGGCCGGTGGAAGTCGGTCGATATGTTTGTCCATCGGGCACGTGTACGTCACTGTTTGTTTTGGGTACGTGCTCTTTAAGAAAAATAATGGAAATTCATAATCATGTTTGCCGCTTGGAATGAGCGCGCAGACGTTAATGCAGGTCGAGATGAAAATAATCATTAGAAATAGCAGGGAATGCGCATAATAATGGAAAAACGGGTTGTATCACAAAAGTATATGGAAGTTTATAGTCACGGAACTCATTTTAGGTCAGTGCATGTCAAATTGACACATTTTCAGCAGAAAGTTTGCCACATTTTCCAATAAACCTTTGTGTCTATGATGTTTTCCGATGACCCGCGCAGACAGCAATGCATATTTGTGTAGCAAATGCTGCCGCAGACCTTTGACACAAATGCTTACTAATGGTGCAATAACACTGTCGATCTTGAGCCTGGCCTTTGCCATGGCCTTGCCACCGTTCAGAGGAATATTCGTTTTGATTACCTCTGCTGAGACAGGCGGCGCCCCGCGCAGCCCGCTAATCTTCCCCGAACATGTCCTTCAAATGACAAAGCCGCTCTCTGCCTGTCGGCGGCATTCGGTGCTGCGGCCTCGCCGCCAGACCCGAAGCCCACAGCTCAGGGGACCTTTCTCCAGCCCACGCGGTTCAGTGGTTCGTGATCGCTGGGGCCGTTCGGTGGTCTGTGATCGCTGGGGCCGTTCGGTGGTCGGTGATCGCTGGGGCCGTTCGGCGGTCGGTGATCGCCGGGGCCGTTCGGTGGTCGGTGATCGCTGGGGCTGTTGGGTGGTCGGTGATCGCTGAGGCCGTTCGGGGGTCGGTTATCGCTGGGGCCGTTGGGTGGTCGGTGATCACTGGGGCCGTTCGGTGGTCGGTGGTCGCTGGGGCCGTTCGGTGGTCGGTGATCACTGGGGTCGTTCAGTGGTTGGTGACTGCTGAGACCGTTCAGAGTGACCGTGCACGGACGTGTCTAGTTGGGATCGGACTGCGGTGAGCCATATCTTCACAGCAGGATGAAACACTTACGCATTTGGAAGCAAAGTGTCTGCAAGGTAACGCAAAACACCAAAAAACTAAGTCAAGTTTGTAATGTAGAGACTGGGAACCGACCAATGCAGAAGTCATTTGAAATTTAACAGTTCGATAAGCTGAACTAGCAGTCCCGTTGACGGCGATCCAATTTCAAATCCTCCCGGCGGCGTACACAAAAAACAAACAAGACAAAATAAAATAAAACGGGTGCCTGCTTATCCCAAGCCACGCGCCTAGCTGTGCGGCTCAGCCTCGCAGCCGAGGTGCCGTCAAAACCGACCCGAGCCGGGCCACAGCCGCGTCCAGTTTCATAAACCGGGCGGGGCGCCCGCACCGCATTATTCGGCGGAGGTAACAAGTATGTCTGCTTTAGGGTCTGGGCTTCCCCAGTGTGCCGCGCTCCAAACCCAGAGCGTCGCACTTCAAAGCCGTGAACACGGTGTTCACATCGGCGCGATGTGGAAGCCGCTGATCGTGCGAGGGGATGGCTGCTGCGCAAGTTGTGTGACACCGTTCACTTCCAGCCATCATTTTCATGTCGGCCTAATGGAGTGTTCCACCGACACGACTGCAAACCCCAGCAGTGTCACGTTCCTGATCACTGCCCCGTTAACCACCATTTTCCACTCGCATTGTACCCGCATTCTCCACTCTCCGCGTACACTACACGCGACAAGTAGAGCCCGTCGGCGCCTGCCTTGAATGACGCTCCTGGCGTGCACCAAGACCAAGCCGAGTGGCTTCAGCACCCACCTCATCCCGCATGATCTCCATGTGCGATACGTGGTCGTTCATGCTGCTGCGTCGCAGATCCTGCTGGCTGCGCATCTGCTGCAGCTGCAGGTTCAGCTGCTCCTCGTTTTTGATGGCCTGCCGAAGGGTCAGATGTCAGTTGCCGCAGAGCATGCGCCACAGCAGCAGCTCGGTGGCTCGGATGCCGCTCGTGCAAGGTCAACAAGGCCGACACGACATAGTGGTTTGGCAAGACTTGTACACCGCGCAACTTTTTCAGTGCCGTTGCAACATGGTCTATTTAGTCGGTGATGCATGACGCTAGTGCACACATCAAAGTGGGTAATTTTGCACGGAGAAGTGCCGAAAGTGAGCACGGCAGCCGGCTCCGAAGCTTTGCACGCCATGTGCTTTAGTCCGGTACGGTGACAGAGGCATAGAAAGTGAGACCAGATGGCCTAACTTGCCGGAAAAAAACAGTCGCAGTTGCATTTAAAGCCACGTCTCGCCCATTGGTGCCGTGGCGAAACTGCCAGTGTGGCAATATCATCTCTGTTGGAAACATGTCCAGACGGCTAGATGGTCTAACCTACGATAACAACTACGTCCCAATCAGACTGGACTCTTGATTTTATATTTCACTGGAAAAGTATCCTTTCCATGGACTGTTTCACGATTAAAATCCTGTTTCCATGGAGACGCAGACTGTAAAAGTTAACATATATCTAGCAGGCTCTATGGATCAGACGCAGCAACACCCTGGCTTGTATTGGCTCCCCGCCTGCGGGCTGCTGCCTCGGTCGCCAGCTGACTCATGCGGTCACGGCGCCTGCCGCCGCGGCCGGTGACACCCAGCTGACCTGTTACCGGCCCGGCGACCGCACCTGTCCACCTGACCCGTCAGGCTCCAGCGGCTGGATTCTCTGACTCGTCAGGCTCCAGCGCCTGGACCGCCTGACGAGTCCGGCTCGAGTGGCTGGACCGCCTGACGAGCCCGGCCCGAGTGGCTGGACCGCCTGACCAGTCCGGCTCGAGTGGCTGGACCGCCTGACGAGTCCTGCTCGAGTGGCTGGACCGCCTGACGAGCCCGGCTCGAGCGGCTGGACCGCCTGACGAGTCCGGCTCGAGTGGCTGGACCGCCTGACCAGTCCGGCTCGAGTGGCTGGACCGCCTGACGAGCCCGGCTCGAGTGGCTGGACCGCCTGACCAGTCCGGCTCGAGCGGCTGGACCGCCTGACGAGCCCGGCTCGAGCGGCTGGACCGCCTGACCCATCAGGCTCGAGCACCTAGGCCGTCTGACCCGGCAGGTCACGGGCTTGCGAACCAGTTTGCATCGGTGAAAGATTGGGTTTGCCCGAAGTCGGTCTGCTTGGGTCGATTTGTGAAGAATAATGAACCAAACGCCACTATGGCCTAATTCCGCCAACAGCCGACTCTCAATTACACGAAAGATAAGCTGGCCTTTTCGGACCTGCGTACGACATTGACCTGTGTTGGTTTGTGTAAGAGGCACGCGGCGTGCGTGACGAATAAGCTGACAAAATCGTAGTTTACCTGATCCGATACGTCCAGCGCTCAGTCCTCATCCAAGCATAAACACACCAGCCGGTGAATTTGTCGCGGGATTTCACGGTACCCACATGGCCAGCGTTGCCTGAGCTCTGTCTCATTGCAGTGAGGCGGGAGCCGAACCTCTAGGCCAGGTCACGGATTAAACTCCAGTGGTATGGCGAAGCTGCGTCTGCTATTTATCGCCTGATGAGATGCTCGAGCCCCTTCAGCGGTTATCACATGGGGCGGCGTCGGATCATCCTTTATCAGCTCACATCCCAGCGGTGTTTGGATGCCTGTCTTCTCCATCAACCAAACGACGAAGGTTGCCCAAACCTGTGGGCTAACCACCGTTGTCTCTCCCTATTCCGGCGTCCCTGACACGAGGTCCACCGCAGGCGCGTCCAGCTCGGTCAGCGTCGCATCGACACGGGGCCTAGCAGCCGCTCAGCTGACCGTGCCATCAGCCGCTCAGCTGACCGTGCCATCAGCTGCTCAGCTGACCGTGCCAGCAGCCATTCAGCTGATCGCGCCAGCAGCCCCTCAGCTGACCGTGCCAGCAGCCGCTCAGCTGGTCGTACCAACAGCCCCTCAGCTGACGTGCCAGCAACCGGGCCGGCTGGTAACGCCCGGAGAAAGCCGGCTCAGACCGTGCCTGGGCGCGCCTGGCGAGCCAGAGAGAGGCGCCGAGCCGGCGCCCAGCCCGCGGCCGTCACGGCCGTCACGGCTCACCATGGCGGGCGTGACGTACAGGCGTCACCGGACGTCACCGGCCGGCGGCGGGGAGCCGGTGCGTTCTGACACCGTAACGCGGTGATCGGGCGCCCTGCTTATACGGAAGGAGCGTTTGGGCGCCAGGGGTGGTCGGCCAGTGTCACTCGGCGAGCCGTGTTAGGTCAGTTTGACGAAGTTAGTCTTGGTATCGGTTGGGTGTCGCAAAAAAGACCGGGGGACACCCCCACGCCCTCCAGATTGCCCCGAGATTCGGAGTCACACTGCGTGTTCCTAACAACCACGCTCGTGTGGTGTCCGGGTAGGTTCGGGTGTTGTGTGATGTCCGGGTAGGTCCCGGTGCTGTGTGGTGTCGGGGTAGGTCCCGGTGATGTGAGGTGTCCGGGTAGGTCCGGGGGTTGTGCGATGTCCGGGTAGGTCCCGGTGCTGTGTGGTGTTAGGGTAGGCCCGGGTGCTGTGTGGTGCCGGGGTAGGTCCAGGTGCTGTGTGGTGTCCGGGTAGGTCCCGGTGCTGTGTGGTGTCCGGGTAGGTCCCGGTGCTGTGTGGTGTTGGGGTATGCCCGGGTGCTGTGTGGTGTCCGGGTAGGTCCCGGTGCTGTGTGGTGTCCGGGTAGGTCCCGGTGCTGTGTGGTGTCCGGGTAGGTCGGGTCACTTGATGAGCAGACCGCATGATATGATGTCACCAACGTTTTGGTCTGCCGGAAATCGGGGCCTACGCATGCCTGTTTTTTATGGTCCAGGCCTTCAAGACCTAGGCAAAACAATGCTGCCTGCCATCGCGATCGTGGGTAGACAAAGCAGCACCACGTTAACACTTCTTTGGTGCGCTGGATGGCTGGCGTGTTTGAATCCATCTTAATGGCCGCCCCGTTGCCATAACTGGCGTCAGAATGCAAAACAAAAAGATGTGTGGTGTCTTTCCATTCCCTGCCATACCGCGCCGCCGCATCGTTATGCAACTTGGAGTGCTGTAAACTGAATCGATTTTGTCCTTCCATGCTGCAGCCTGCCTTCCTGCACTGAACATTCTATCGTTTCTGACAGCGTTGCAGAGAGACAGCACGCCATACCAGCCGGCCTCACAATACCGTGGAAATCGTGACTGACGTATCTCAGCTAGATCGCGCAGCGTGCCGGTTCTTAGTTACCAGGCTCACACGAGGTAACCCGGTCATCGGTCTGTATAGATCTATCCTCCGTGCTGTTGGCAGCAAACTGTGGCTGCTCGATCCATAACAACATCGACCTAGCGACGATCCATAAGCTCTTGGCGTGTTCTCGAGCGTGAGGTCATGTGTCCGCCCTACTCACGTCTCGGAGCTGGCGCGTCAGTCGCTGGTTCTGTTCGGTGATCTCGGAGATGATCTGAGACCGCTGCTTGGCCGCGTCCTTCCCCGAGTGGTGCTCCTCCTCCATTTCCTGCCTGTAACACCGGTGGCGGCACCGGTCAGAGCGGCTCCCAGGTACCTCACCAGGGGTCGGGACGGGTCGGGTCGGGTCGCAGGCCTCCAGCGATCAGGCAGCGTCGCGTCGGTTTTCGGATCAGCGCGGGCAAATGCCGTGACCGGCGGGTCAAGTCGGTTGACACACCACCGCCGGCCAGATCATGTGCCACGACTCAGACCACAACCTCAGGACGCGCCCCACCTCACACACCTCAGGACCGGGCCTGGTCGGGTCACACCCACCTCTAGAAGGTTGAGGTCCCGCACGCACCGCCTCCGGTCACATCAGGTCCCACACGCACCGCCTCCGGTCACGTCAGGTCCCACACGCACCGCCTCCGGTCACGTCAGGTCCCACACGCACCGCCTCCGGTCACGTCAGGTCCCACACGCACCGCCTCCGGTCACGTCAGGTCCCGCACGCACCGTCTCCGGTCACGTCAGGTCTCGCACGCACAGCCTCCGGTCACGTCAGGTCTCGCGGGACCGGGCTCTGTCCTCGGCACCGGGACACAGACTCGCTCCGCCACCGAGCCGGTGCCGCTGGCGCGACCGACGACACGCACAGGTGGTAAGTGCCACACCCGGCCAGATGTGTATCGATTTATTTTCAGACACTTGTCAGGGGTGGGGCCAAAGGGGAAGGCAGCAGCAGTCGAGTCGGTTCGTCAGTCAGTGTGGGGACAGAGTGTTTACATCAAGCTTATGTATACAGCGCAGTGTGTTTGCAGTGCATGACATTGGACAAATACATCATTCAGCTGAAAAACTACGGGAGTAATATAAATTGCTTCACCGAGACGTGGGAACACATTCCTCAGAGACGAAAACCTGCCAAACACACGATGCTATTCCCACATAGCATCACGTGATCCCAGTTAGGCCAGGTGTGCTGGAACCGCGCATACCATCCGGTCTCCTTTGTCTGGCGATCCTCCAAGGTCACCTGTCGAGCAGCGAGAGCGGCTGCCGGAGCCGGGCTCCATCAGCAGCCACTTCACCACTTCCTCAGCAGTCCCACAGCCCGAACCTCGCCCCGGCCCGGCCGCAAAGCACGCCACCGTTTCGCAAACGTCGCACGCGCCGCCGCCGCACGTTTCACGCGGCCCGCACGTGACGCGGAAAGGTGCACCTCTCAGCTCGTCATGTGGCGTCGAGCGGGCGGCCTGAGGGAACGTCTCGGACGGCCTGGACGGCGCTGTCCTTCCGCCGGCCTCGTCGCACGAGCCAGCCAGGCACCGGCCCAGTTCAGCCAGAGGGCTATCGCCCGCAATTACCTGTATGTTTTTCTCTGGCGTTTTTACCGCGGCGCGTGATGCACTCCGGCGGGCGTGGTTTGTGCGGCAGTCCCTCCAGCGTGGCCTATTTCGTCGCCGGTGCCGGCAGGCCGGTCTGATTGGGGCTGTCATGCTTCTCGATGTCGGGATGGCAACACCTCAGGCGGTGCCAACGCGGTCACGATTTCCAACGGACCGCGCAGCCCGCCTCACGCATTCGGCGGCTCACTGTTCGTGTCTAACGGTGATCTTTCAGGAGTGTCTAGGAGCCCCACACGAATATGAATGAAACGATACCACTAGTCTTCGGCCAACGGACCAGCGATAATAGAGCGTCCTTCTAAATGAGATCCAGTACGGCGGAAACATCAGAAGCGCATGTTGACACAGCCTCTAAGACAGCGGTTTGGTTCCAGACTGACCGGGCACTTTACGATGGCAGCCAACGGCAGTTGCAGGGTGGGTCTCCGTTTTGCACGAGCATGGCATGCAGCCTGTTGGACGGACCAATCGCATCATATCGGACCCAAGATCGGGCGTAACGGTTCGGCCGACCAGGATCTCTGTTGTTGGTGATCAGGCACCTGATGTTCGCGCCAGAGCCCCCCATTTGGCCAAACCGCATCATTGACATAACATGGGAGCCGGATATACCAGATCCTCAACCCATTTGACCGCTCTTCGCGCCACATTACCGACGGTCATAGTCAGCAAGCGTGCACCGTCTAACGGCCGGGCCGTGCGTGTTCGAGGCGCGGCCGACCGCTGCCGGTGCCGGCTGCACCACCGCAGCCCCGGCTCTCCGGCCACCTATGCCAGCCTCCCGAGGTCCAGCTCAGCCTCTCGAGGTCCAGCAGCCTCTCGAGGTCCGACACCAGCCTCTCGAGGCCCGACACAGCCTCTCGAGGTCCAGGAGTCTCTCGAGGTCCGACATCAGCCTCCCAAGGTCCAGCGCAGCCTCTCGAGGTCCAGCAATCTCTCGAGGTCCGACATCAGCCTCCCAAGGTCCAGCGCAGCCTCTCGAGGTCCAGCAGTCTTTCGAGGTCCGACACCAGCCTCTCGAGGTCCGACACAGCCTCTCGAGGTCCAGCAGCCTCTCGAGGTCTGACACCAGCCTCTCGAGGTCCGACACAGCCTCTCGAGGTCCAGTAGCCTCTCGAGGTCCGACACCAGCCTCTCAAGGTCCGACACAGCCTCTCGAGGTCTGGTACGGCCTCTCGAGGTCCAATGCCAGCCTCCCGAGGTCCAGCACCAGCCAGAGGGCCCCGCCCACTCATGATCGGGTATGCAGATGGGCGGCCCGGCATCCACCCGGAACGGTGCCTCGGTGCTGCACGGCTGGCGGGCTGGCGCCGGACCAACGGGGCGGCCACCCGACCAAGCTCATCTGGGATGGAATGGGATGGACCAGGGTGGGAAATGTAGGCAGTATCTGCATGACACTGTGCATACGCTGCAGTACGAATGCCTGGAGTGGATGGGATGGGCTCCGGGTGGCCGGGACGGGTTCGCAGTAGCCGGGTGTGATGGGCAGAATGGACCGCGTTTTAACGAAATTGTTGACGAAAGTGGCCAGGTATGTTTCCATCTGACAATGGAGCCACGCATACTACGAATGGGAGCCGCAAGAGCGTCTAGTGAGTCCGAAATCAGCGCTACAACAGTGAAGTCTCAAAATGCCTGCACGCACTTCAAGTTGTGGAGGGCGCACGACTTTTCGTATGTAGAGCTGCACAATCATTAGCAACATCTGGCTGTTGGCATGCCAGCTCTTCACCCCGGGGACGGTAAAACGGAGGCTAATGAACCACTGCCTTTGACCATGAGTGCTGTTCTCCCACGACTGGCCACTCCACCTTTAGCGGGCCCGCCCCAACCCTGACCCGAGTGCGGCCCTCCGCGGGTGTCAGAACCGGCCGCAGGACCACCGCCAGGGGCGCGCCCGCTCGTCCACGGCGCTCGTCCAACATGTCTGACTCACTTGAGCGTGCCGAGGTCCGACTGCAGTTGAAGCACCTGTGTCTCGTACTCGCTCTCCATGGTGGTCATCTTGCGGCGGAGCACGTGCTTCTCCTGCTCCAGCTCCTGCAGCGGACAAGAGATGACAGGTTAGTCAGGCTCACTCACGGCACACCCTCACCGAAGAATCAATAAGCGTTCTAGGGTCAAAGATGATGATGCTGTTTATGGCCCATGGTGCCAAAAAAAAACAAACAAACAGAGATTTAGGTTTGGGCACGTTTTTTACGCCAGTACGGCGTCAAATAATGACACTGTGTATAACCAGGCAAGCCATGCCTTCAAGATCTCGGGACAGCGCGTTTCATAACGCCGCAATCCTTTTCACCAGCATCAGCTTACGCATTCAGTCACTCTTGCATCGGCCGTCAACTCCAAGGATAACAATGTTAATTCCTTTCAAGACGAACGAAAGGATATTCCGCTTTGCAAGATTTCCCTGGTTAATACGCTTTCACACAACACGAGTGGAAGGTCTCCAGCGTCGTATAAAAAAACAGACAAGGATCCATTCTCCGAGAACAATCCCCCACAAACAGTCTCCACTTCCGTCAGCACTGGAAGAATGCCGCGGCGACACACCGCGGCGCACCGGCAGGTCAGCAGGCCGACGAGCCGGGCGGAAATGGCTTATTTGTCTGCGGGTCCAGGGCGGCCTCAGACGCTGTCGAGCGCGACGCTCCATCCGCCTCGACAGCGCAGGGAGCCGTGCTCGGGGGCGGGGGTAGAGTCTCATGTCGGGCCACGATGGCGACACGGCAGTGACGAGACCCGCCTGCTTTATCGCTCTCTCATTTCCGTCATGTCCGTGACGAAAGCAGGTGCTCCAGGCGGACAGACGCGCCCAAAAGGATTTCGACAACGTTTCGGCGCATACATCCTCGCCATCTGCCTGCCTGGGACAGACGGGAGTCGGTTCGACCTTACACCGATCGTAAATGGAGTTAATGGCCGACCCCCCCGACCGATTTCCATTTCTCCCCATGGGGTCACCCCCACTCGCATGGCCGTTACGTCCACGGTAATCGAAAAGCGTTTCGTCAGTGGGTGCCGACAGCGAAGGGCAAGGCCAGAGCCCACAACTGCCGGGTATGGGTCAAGTTCGCCCCGCATATCAAGGCTGGAGTGACCTCGATATCATTATCGCAGTGCTACCAACCATGCCGAGGCAGATACTTGTAAGACAGTCGAGGGCAACCGTCCTTTTTGTGTGATTTCCATGGGTAGATCATGTAGCACGGTCGATGTGGCAGCAGTCAACTCCCTATTCCCTGGAATTAGAGAACCCAGTACCAAAGGCATCAAGTGCAAGGAAGCCTGACCAAGGTCGAACACCGATTCCTTCAACTCAAAAGTCGCCGGCATTCTGAACGTTGAGCGGTGCCATTTAGAGTACGGAATGTCGGTAGCCCTCACTGTTCTTCTTAATCGTGCCATTATAACCAATCAATCAAGTTGACAAAACGGAGCCCAAGGTTTTACTCGAGCGTGACCAATATTTTTTTTTTCACTTCGCTGTTCCACGAAACCTACACATGCTCCTGCTAGAATGTTTCTACTAAACTAAGGCCCGCGTCTCCAGCTTCCGTGCCGCCCGACCATCCCCCGCCCCAGGGTAGGAACAGCGGCGCCGCAGCCGGCGGGTGCCAGCAGGCAGTGACACAGGCGTGGATCCGTCACCCTCGCCCTCGCCCTCGTCCCGGCGGGGAGGGGTCTCTGAGAGAGGGGAGAATTCCAGGTCGGGGGAGGCGTCTCCACGGGCGCTGGGACGCGCCGCCAGGTGACGCGATTTCTAGGCGACCATTAATCCTTTCCATGTGGCACGGCGACGTAATAAACGGGGCGGCCGGCGACGGCGACGCTTTGTGTGGCTGCTGCGCTGGGCGCCTCTCCACAGCAGCGGACAGGCGTGTGTGGCTGCTGCGCTGGACGCCTCTCCACAGCAACGGACAGGCGTGTGTGGCTGCTGCGCTGGACGCCTCTCCACAGCAGCGGACAGGCGTGTGTGGCTGCTGCGCTGGGTGCCTCTCCACAGCAGCGGGCAGGTGTGTGTGGCTGCTGCGCTGGACGCCTCTCCACAGCAACGGACAGGCGTGTGTGGCTGCTGCGCTGGGTGCCTCTCCACAGCAGCGGACAGGCGTGTGTGGCTGCTGCGCTGGACGCCTCTCCACAGCAGCGGACAGGCGTGTGTGGGTGCTGCGCTGGGCGCCTCTCCACAGCAGCGGACAGGCGTGTGTGGCTGCTGCACTGGGTGCCTCTCCACAGCAGCGGACAGGCGTGTGTGGCTGCTGCGCTGAGCGCCTCTCCACAGCAACGGACAGGCGTGTGTGGCTGCTGCGCTGGGTGCCTCTCCACAGCAGCGGACAGGCGTGTGTGGCTGCTGCGCTGGACGCCTTTCCACAGCAGCGGACAGGCGTGTGTGGGTGCTGCGCTGGGCGCCTCTCCACAGCAGCGGACAGGCGTGTGTGGCTGCTGCACTGGGTGCCTCTCCACAGCAGCGGACAGGCGTGTGTGGCTGCTGCGCTGAGCGCCTCTCCACAGCAACGGACAGGCGTGTGTGGCTGCTGCGCTGGGTGCCTCTCCACAGCAGCGGACAGGCGTGTGTGGCTGCTGCGCTGGACGCCTCTCCACAGCAGCGGACAGGCGTGTGTGGCTGCTGCGCTGGATGCCTCTCCACAGCAGCGGACAGGCGTGTGTGGCTGCTGCGCTGGGTGCCTCTCCATAGCAGCAGACGAGCGTGCTTTGGCGGCGGCGGCGGCGGCGGCGGCCGAGCCCAGCTGCTGCAGAAGCGCCGCTCGTCGGCCGGCTGGCTGGGGCACGCTCTGTCCGGCTCATGGTGATGTCACGCACAGTCCAGCGCTGGAAGGCTGTCGTGTAGGGCCGGCTGGCTGGCAGAGGTGCGTGACGCGACTCCAGGTCCAGCCCTGCGAGCTGGAATTCGCAGGGCTCGGCGGCGACCATTAGCAAAGCGGCGCGGCGAGCCTCGGAGCTCGGCCGGACAAGCCTGGGGAGTTTGAGCGATGCCAGTCGGCTGACGCCGCACGTGTGCCCGCGCTCCACCGAGTCTGGGAGATTTCTAACCTCACCGATGACCCAGCCGCAAAAGCCGGCGCATCCGTCACCGTCCCATCGGTGCCATGGTCCCGCTCCACACAGACCACCCGGCCACGAAGCCGTCACGGAACAAACCCATCACGAGCCCGCACACGCTCCGACCGAGAGCTGAAGACTGAGAGAGCCGGGAGAAATCGTGTGTGATCCCCAGACGCCAGCGGTGCAACCGCACCTCGCCCGGGGAACAAACACCTCACAACAGGCCGGCCGCCGCCGCCGCCGGCGGCAACTGCGTCTCTCGCAGCGACGGTTCAGGCGCCACTAAATAGGTCACGCTGGCCGTTGCGTGCGCTGTGAGAACGCGTGCGGCTAAAGCGGCGCGCGGCGCGTCCGTTTCCGGTGAGTGGGCGCCACAGACAGACGTGTTGACCGGCCAGCGGTGCGTCGCTTCTGCCGCGCGTGTCGGACGCAGCCCTCCGCTGAGAGTGAAGCGTTAAGCTCTCTTTCGGCAGGGTCTCGTGCGTGTCGGCCAGGTGAGGCGATGTCCGCTTCGTGGGACGTTCATGGTACCAGCCCACCTATGAACGATGAAATGAGAGAAATCGAATAGATCGTTGATGCCCTGCACGCAACTAGTGGTCGAAAAAAAAACGTTTCTTGCGATCAGGCAGATCGCGGAGGACCGAGCCTGAACAGCGCCGGAGGATCGCCTCGAGCGGGGACCGAGCCTAAACAACGCCAGAGGATCGCCTCGAGCGGGGACCGAGCCTAAACAAGCCAGAGGATCGCCTCGAGCGGGGACCGAGCCTAAACAAGCCAGAGGATCGCCTCGAGCGGGGACCGAGCCTAAACAACGCCAGAGGATCGCCTCGAGCAGGGACCGAGCTTAAACAGCGCCAGAGGGTCGCAATGAGCGGGGACCGAGCCCAAACAACGCCAGAGGATCGCCTCGAGCGGGGACCGAGCCTAAACAAGCCAGAGGATCGCCTCGAGCGGGGACCGAGCCTAAACAAGCCAGAGGATCGCCTCGAGCGGGGACCGAGCTTAAACAACGCCGGAGGATCGCCTCGAGCGGGGACCGAGCTTAAACAACGCCAGAGGATCGCCTCGAGCGGGGACCGAGCCTAAACAACGCCAGAGGATCGCCTCGAGCGGGGACCGAGCTTAAACAGCGCCAGAGGATCGCCTCGAGCGGGGACCGAGCCTAAACAACGCCAGAGGATCGCCTCGAGCAGGGACCGAGCTTAAACAGCGCCAGAGGGTCGCAATGAGCGGGGACCGAGCCCAAACAACGCCAGAGGATCGCCTCGAGCGGGGACCGAGCCTAAACAAGCCAGAGGATCGCCTCGAGCGGGGACCGAGCCTAAACAACGCCGGAGGATCGCCTCGAGCGGGGACCGAGCTTAAACAACGCCGGAGGATCGCCTCGAGAATCGAGAGGCAGCCACGTTTGACCGCCACAGCTGTTTTCCATCTGGCCCAGCAGCCGAGCTCAGCCTGGCTGAAGTGTCGGGGACGAGACTGACGGCCGAGCACGTCTCCTCGCGGTGTGAGCGGCTGTGCGGTCGGCGCCTTCAGACCCGCCGAGCGAGTTCGGGAGACGACCGGACGCCGGCCGGCCCGGCCTGTCAGACAGCTGCCGGGCTCGGGCGGACACGGCGTCCGTCCGAACACAGCGGCGCCGCCGTCTGTCCGCTCCGAAAACGGGCCGCCGAGCGTGGCGCGGCCCGGAACAATCGCAGGCCGACGGATGTTCGACCGAGAGAAACATTAGCTTTGGACGCGCCGTCCCGGGCGGCGAGCGGGCCTAATGAAACCGCGAGCTTTAATCCGCTGAGGGCTGGCGTGCGCCGGCCGGCTGGGTAAGTGATGATGGTGGCCCGAGGTCAAACGGCCCAGTGATGAAGTCGGCGCGGTGATGGTAGCCTGGATAGCGCCTCAGCATGGCGGTAAATGGCGCTTTTGTTTGCCGAAACGGCCTCGGCGCGTCATCTGCCGACGCGACCGCACCA